CCTTTGGACTTTGGACCTTTGGACCCAGGCTAAAAGTGAGCCAGCAATAGTCCTCCCCGTAAGAACATCAAGGGCCATTGGCACACATGTTAGATTCCAGTCTCTCTCTCTCTCTCTGTCTGACGCGCCTAGAATTCGGGCCAATCTATGCTCGACATGACCCAACAATCTAGATGGCCCTGCAAGATCCTCCAAGTCTTGTAACCTCACAGTGCACCAAGAGGCATGGTAATGAAGTTGTTCACATTGTCCCAACATGTCCCAACTGGTACATGTTCTTTGCTGTTCGTCAGCGTTAGCAGAGAGTCCTTTTTTCGGATTGGGTCGACCCAAGGAAGCTTTTTTGGGGGGTCAACTGTTCTTTGTTTGCTTAGAGACTGGGGATAGAGCCGCAAACATTTGCGAGTCCAATTTGAATTGTGAGATATTGATGAACCGTTCATTAACCTCCAATAGACCTGGGAAACCTCCAACTGGGGCCTTGTTGATCTTGTTGAGACACACCCGTTTCACCAAGGTTTACTTGGACTTTGGGCTTGTAGCAGATGTACCTCTTCAGGCGCAGTGCTGTGGCGAAGATTCCTTTCTTGAGGAGATGACCTGACCCTGGCCTCAATGCCACTTCTCGACATCAACAGCAGATGCTTGAAAGCATGAAACTGGAATCCACACTGTTTGTAGAGGAACATCATCTTCCCTGTCAGGCCATGCCATACACTTCCATGTTTGAAAGAGGGTCATCTACTTCAAGGTTTCATATGCACCCAAGGTCGGCCCAGGTCTCAGCTTCGGTTTCATACGCTTCGTATCGCTTCGTAGGGTTTCAGATGTATGAGATCTCAGTATATTGCAGTTTCAAAGGGCCCATGCGGCTATGCATAGCTGGATAAGAGCGAGGGAGTCAGTGCAGATTTGCAGTTGCCAACATAACGTTGATTTATAATCCAGAAGAAGACATACTGGATCATAGTCCAATCAACGAGATAATGAAATCCCAGTGCGACCCCTCATTTCCAGACTCGGCGAAGATTCCGGATCCGACCTTCATGGGAGAGTGTGGCAGGTGAGGGAGGGCTTGGTTTGTGCAGTCATGTACATGGTGCAGCCTGAGCCCGAGACACACTTCGGATCTGGACAGAATTGGCACCGAAAAGTCATGGTGAACAGAGAATCCACCATTCGATCCGGATTTTGGTTCTGTGATGTTCTGTGTTTGTGCGTTTTTGTTTGCTTTAGAACACGTGTCTCATGTGTGGAACTGTTCGGAGGGCATTTGATTTCTGGTGTTGCATGCCCATGGCCTGGGTTCAGCAGACAGCATGGTACTGTATGACGACGAAGACCTCGTATCGAAGTAGAACATTTCTGTACACGGAGAGTCTTCCTATGGCCTATGGGCTTTTTGGTGTACACATGTGTACACTTCCATGTGAGCTTCGCTGGTCACTGCAGTTTCAAACAACATAACACCTTCTTGGTATGTCTTGGTGCTATTGTTTTGGGATAGGACTTTCTGCAATCTGTGTGTGCTAGGGTGTCTCAATGCTGTTTTTCTTCGGCCGTGGTGTCTCCTGAGAGGAAGCGGTGGGCCGATGTAGCCGCACTCTTCAACCAGTTGATGCTCTTGCCTGATTGGGTTCTCGAGGATGTTCCGAAACTCAGAAAGCGACACTGTCCATGCCTGCATTGCCTTCTTTGTATGAGCCATTCAGATTGAAAGCTTTGGAGTCGTACTACATGTAACCGAGTCGAGTGTATCTTGCACTGATCTCCAGCGGACTATCCCTACTTTGTAGGTCACAGAGTGAAGCGCTGAGTGCTGACAGCTTCAGGGCTGGTTTGTTTGTCACATCCCTTATCATCAGCTCATAAGATCTTTCAATTTATAAGTCATAAGTTGTCATAAGTATTCATAAGTTATCCATTGTTATTCCGCTAGGCATCAGTCAAAAAGATGGACATCTCGCTCCGGCTCCCACAGAGGCAGAGACCTTGAGCCGCTTCACCAACGATATCCAGCTGGCTGCCAAGGCGAGCGTCGAGTCGCGACCGGCGAGTCATGGACGAGTCGCGGCGAGTCGCGTGACGAGTCGCATGTATTTCTGCCAGCTGGTACGTTTCAGATGCCAGAAACTGAAACTGAATGCGCGAAGTGTGGGGGTTCAACTTTAAGGTACTGTATAGAAGTCTAAATGCCTGGAGATTCATGGAGATTCTATGCATTTTGCTTGCTGACTTGCTCACCCAATGGGATTCTTGTTGCTCCCGGATTCTGGTCTCCTGCGGAATGTGAGGAAGCTCTACATTTTCCGGAGCCAGGAGAGACGCGTGAGGCTGCGAGGGTGGATGAATTCGTCCTTGGGGTGTTCGATCAACAGGGTCACTGTGTTCGTCGCTGTGGTATTTCACCGGCGCTGACGCTCCCACATATTCTACCTGGAGCCTGAGTGACCCCTGTTTTGGAGGATCAACTATCCAAAATATGGTATTTTCCTATCAAAACAGAGGTCAGTCAGGCTCTAGGTACATCTATCTACATCACTTCACAGTGAAACTAGAGTCAAGCTCAACAGGGTCTTCTTTCCCCGCTGACGATTCCAAGCCTGTTCCCTTGGCTGTGGTCGCTAGACAGTATAGTAGATAGATGTAGATAGGGACAGTGGGAATCTTGTTAATCCATTCATGCGCGTCACTGACATTTGGCTACCTTAAGAGAGTCATAGTTACTCCCACCGTTTACTCGCGCTTGTAAGAATCTCATCACTTTGACATTCAGAGCACTGGGCAGAAATAACATAGCGTCAAAACCTGTTAAGTCCATCGCGGTTATCTATTTTAATTAAACACTATTAAACAGTCGGATTCCCCTTGTCCGCGTTAGTTCTGAACTAGTTGAGAATTTATGTAGGGGTAATTCTGAACCCCACAACTGCCTCACAGGATCTTGGGCTTTTACTTAATATAATCAATGCAACAACCTTACATTTGTGTGCAGCTAGTTTGTTTGTATCATACGATATATATATATATAGAAATTAAGTGTTTTTCAATTCAGAAGAGACAAGTAGTTTCGACTGAAAAGGTCCTTCAGACCCCACTTGGGGCCTTTGACGTGGAGGCCTGCTTCAAAGATATGCTTGCTTCCCATGATATGTTCCTGTGAGCTAGTCACCTAGTCGAAATGTCCGGGTGACATGAATCATGCACACGGACCTGTCTTGAAATGAGGGCACTCCACAACCAATGGTCCGTGCAATCAACAAAGACCCCCAAAATACAAAGTGTGATTATCATGAACTATCATAAGCACACCCTAAATCAGTTAACTGACATAATATGTTAGAACAAATAACGGGTCGCTGGATGTTTTCTTGATTTCTGCTGTCCCCCATTTCTTAGTTTTCGTGTGTTGCTGACACAAAAAAGCTGATTTCTGCTGGCTACCATTCTTTGCCATTTGTATTTTTGTGGGGTCTCCATTCCAGATGAATCCTAGTCAAATCTAAAGCAACCGTTTACTTCAGATCCGTTTAGGGTCCTTTGTTTATTAACCAGACCTGGTCACTATACTAGTGGTCTTTTTGTGGATGTCTTCCAGTTTTGACATGATGATCATGATGATTTTCATGCTCAATGGTTCTGGGCTCATCCTCCTCAGCTTCTAGGTTCCTTCCCTAAAGTTTGCCGCCTTGCTGGAGCAGCAACTTGTCCAAATAGGTCCCCGGAGATAGAGCGAAAGAGGAAAAGCGAGACTGAGAGCGAGAGGGTGAGGGCTGCAGGTGCTTCACTTTCGCAGCAGTGCGGCGTGGTTCACTGGATCGCAAAGTTATCACAAGAAGATGAAACGCATCAAACGCATCAAATGCAGGTCCTTCCTAGACTTTCATGCAACTTGAGGGACTTGAGGAGCTAAACAACTGTTCTTCAACTGTTCTTCATGTTTCACGTGTTGGTGTTTTTCGGACCACTTGACTCGTTTGTTCCAAGCCGTGCGCTCGCCGAGGTTGGCGCTGCTGGCCCCAAGGCCTCGACCAAGCCAGTGTAACCGGTTTCTACGACTCGGCTGATGCACCAGTTTTTTGCCAAAGTACATGGATGCTGAAGATGACGGAAGATGAGTTTGCAACATTCTTACAATATGTATATATACACAACATATATTACAATATAATGATTATTGTACTCGTAGTTTCTACTGGACCAACAGATGCCTATTGGTTGAGGCGGTACACAATTCCCATCAACAGCTTCTCAATTTGTGTCTCTACTTTCGCTCAAACACATTTTGTCGGTCACGGGTGTGGATCTGTTCTTGATGCAGGCAGTGGGGACGGGGAACCTCGGTAGCCTTCGTGGGTTTGCACAGCCTTCGCGCGTTCGTGAGGTATGAGTTTCAACTGCCACCCTACTTCCTGAACAATGCACGAGCCCTGGGCTGTCTGGAAGGCGAGGTGGACCGCGAACCGTTTGTTGAAAAAGGCCACCCCGGGTAAGTCGAAGAAGAATAGGCAACTCGGCGTTGGTACCCAGATCGTCAGGTGAGTTTGCGGAGCTGTAAATTGAATAGGCACAGAATAGCCGGGGCGAATAGCAAGGGGGCGAAGCAGGACCCCGCAAGGAACAAGCAGAGCACTCATAGCATTTGCCACAGGCATGGCGCGCACGGTTGATCCTGATTTTAACATCTTGGAGAAAGCCCGGACTCTGAGATTGGGTCTGTCCACACGCGTGTTGTCTCGCATTGCTGGCTTTTTAGAATATCATGAATCATGAACAGAGAGCTTTTGGGGTCAGCCAGCACTTAAAGCATGGACAGGACCCATTTGCATCCCAGTGTTTGAGTGCACGTGCTCCCAGTAAACCCTGAACATCCAAACATCCATCAATGTTCATGTGAGTGGGAAGGTGGTACAACCCTCCTGCATCCATTTTCACAAGCACATTAAAGTCTGAAGCTTAATCCCTTGGTTTGCCATACACACAGCATGACACAGCAGCTCTGTGATGTGCCAGCTGCAGTTGAAGATCGAGTCCCATAAACAACCACTTTGCCTCACTTGGCCAGTATGCTTTTTTGCATACAAGTCTTTGGCAAGACAGCAAACGACAGCAAGACAGGTGATGGTGTTAAACGTCTTGACCCCCAAAGCTTGAACTGTGTCATGAACCTCCTTAGCATCATGAAATGTCATGAACCCCCCCGTGCTGCTGGCTTATTGTGTCACTTCTACAGACTGATGGTTCCTTGCAAGACGACCTCATTCCTTCCGATCCCACAGACCTTGTGACTTTCAGTCCTTTCCATGCGTCGACCAGTCCTTGTTTGACGACCGGATGGGTCGACGCAACACGTCGACCATTGTCCGCGATCGACTTCAGCTGGCGAGGTCTATCCATTTGATTTGGATCGTCTTTTGCCGGGCTCCTAGGGCGGCAACCACATGGCGAGGATAACAGGAAAGCCATGGAAAGCCAATGATGACTATACTAATCATATACATGTATATCATGTATATGCTTGTACATGCTTCTCCTTCTCATGCATGGTTTTCAGGGGTACCATGTATAGATAGTTATAGATACAGTATCTATAATGTATTATAATGTAGTAATACATGTATTACTGGGTACGGCCCAAATGGCCAAATGCTAGGCAAACCGTTGAACTTGAATGCAAATGGTGAGCCAGCCCTGTTATGGCACCCTTTCCCCGTAAACCTTATTGAACACAAACCTCTTTGAGCAATATTGAACACGAACCTCTTTTAGCTACAAAGACATAGGAGCTACATGTTTTGCCTGATAAACGATATAGAAGTATTGTGGAGGAGTTCGGCAAGGGTCAGTTGTTCGGCCCTGTGGGCTCCAGTCGCCAACGGCGCGTACGCGCCGAACTTACGAATGCGTGGGTAACTGACTGAATGAATGAATGACAGAATGAGCGAGTGAGCGAGGAGGGAAGGAGTGAGGGAGGGAGTGAGGGAGGGAGTGAGGGAGTGAGGGAGGGAATGAGTGAGTGAGTGAGTGAGAAAAAGTTGGCGCAAGTTGAAGTGTGACGTGATTTGAGTCGGGGTGGTTTGTGTTGGTGTGAGTTGGGCTGGTGTGAGATGAGCTGGTCAGGAGGAGGTGGGAGGAGTAGGAGGAGGAGGAGGAGAGGAAGATGCTGGGCCGGTGCAGCACAAAAGCAAGTAAGAACCCCATGGGGAATAAATAATCATGGATGCTGAAGCCAACGACTCTTTGATTTTGTTGTTTGGCTTCAGGAGTCAGCCTTGTACTGTTTGCTGCCGTTTTTTTCTTGGTTCCAGTCAGATGCCCTAAATTAATCATCAAACAACGCGTCCCAAAAACACATGATAAATTGAGAGAATTCCAACGCTAAATCTTAAATAACAAATCCCCTTCCCTCCCCTTCCCTATCAAATATATTGAGGGTGTCAGAAAAAATCAATTCCACCAAATCAATTCCAGGGAGTCAGGCGTAGTACGTAGCAGCAGCAGCAGCAGCAGCAGCAGCAGCAGGAGGAGTAGTAGTAGTAGTAGTAGTAGTAGTAGTAGTAGTAGTAGCAGTTTCAGTAGCAGTAGCAGTAGCAGTAGCAGCAGCAGCAGGAGTAGGAGTAGTAGGAGTAGTAGGAGTAGTAGGAGTAGTAGTAGTAGTAGTAGTAGTCGCCGTAGTAGTAGCAGTAGCAGTAGCAGCAGCAGCAGTGGTAGTAGTAGTAGTAGCAGCAGGAGTCGTAGTAGTAGTAGTAGTAGTAGTAGTAGTAGTAGTAGTAGTAGTAGTAGTAGTAGTAGTAGTAGTAGTAGTAGTGGCATGAGGAGGATGAGGAGGAGGATGAGGAGGAGGAGTAGGAGTACGAGTAGGAGTCTAGTCTAGGAAATTAGGAGTTCAGGAGCAGGAGGAGTAGTAGCAGTGGTTGTTGTTGGTTGTGGTAGTAGGAGGAGCAGCAGCAGCAGCAGTAGTGCTTTTGGTAAGACTTCCAGGAATGAAAGCAAACCATAGAAGAGGGCCCCCAAAAAACTATGCGAAACTATGAAGGGGTTGGAAATAGATTCGCGGTCATGGACACGTTAATAAATACCAATCATAAGGTTGGAACATTTTTCCGGGTAGTGCCATGGTAGTGCCATATGTAGGTATGCACACAAGTTTACATGCAGTTATTGTATAATCAGGAACAAAGACTTTGTGCATGTGTTCCCTCATTCTAGTAAACCTTAGTGAGTGTATTGCTATGTCAGGAACAGGGGGAATACATCATGGATAGACTGAGGGGCGATGTTCACTTTTTGGTTTGATTGACTAGTTTTTGGCAATTGTCGGGGCTGTTACATGCCCACCAGTTGCCCAACAAAACGGGGGGGGTTGCCCGGACTGCCACATGTTTACAGGGTATTCTGGGTTTCGGGACGCTCAATTTATCGTCTTGGAGGTCGGTTTACGTGACTAGCAACACGAACAAAACTGTCCCAAGCCCCCCCCCCAACCCCCCAGAGAGGCTGTGCAAGACACTTGTCTGGCAGCTCAAATGTACAGTGACCCAGCATGGCTCAATTGGGCAGAAGACTGATGTCTGTGGCGCAAAAGAATCCTGGATGTGCAGAGCATTGAGCAGGTGGGAGGACGGGAGAGACGACGGGACTCACTTATCTTTGGATTGTCTTAAAATGCATTCCAGTTATCGTCTTGGAGTTAGTGAACTTCAAAACATTCCAAAACGATAAGCAGAGCGCCCCGAAAGCTAGAATACCCTGTAAAGCGCATGGTCTTCTCCCCTTTGCATGTGGCAGCCGGGGCAAACCCCCCGGTTGTCCCAACGTGTTGCTACGAAAATTTGTGTTGTTCTCCGACGTTTCCTAATTAAATGCATTTGTTTAATGTTTCAACATGACAATGAGGTTCAAAGCTGCATATTTGATTTGGTGAATGCTGCAAATGCCCTGATTGGATGACGTCCCCTTGGCAATCTTCTGTGACACCAAAGCTGGCTGAGGTCTAATCCGTCGAACTCGCCAGTCTTGAGTAGCACTTTGCCATGGCCTCAGCAACCGCCAAGGCACCATTCGGAGAACCACTCTATATCCAGCGCATCATGCAGTGGTGGTGGCGGAACTCACTAAAAGTAAATGCAATGATACTGTTGTACAAGTTGTCCCGGCGCAGTGGGATGATCACCCAAATTCACAGATGACGGATGAGTACCGATCCAACCTGGGTTTGCGGTGCAGGATTTCCTGTACTGGTAGTTGCGTATGGTCTTGGTCACAGGGGCAGCAATTGTCGCAGTGGGTGCCCTGCGCAGAGAACTGAAGGACTCATTGAGGGTATGTGATCCAGTGCTATAAATTGGGTTGTTTGAGATTGAATCCGTAACGTGTTTGTAAACCTACTCACTTTTTTGTGGCTTGGTTTGTGCCAGCACATAGCCTGTCCAATTTGTTGGTTGTCAGAGCTCGCCTGTGTGAGAAAGAACTGCAAATTCAACATTCAGGAATGCATATTGAATATTTATATACTGATGTCCAGATGAGTGTCAATTCCTCTCAAGTATTTTGTAACAATTTTGCATCATTTGCAGTGAACACAAGCACGAATCTTCGCCATAATGTTGTATGCGTTCCTCCATGTTCCTCCTTTTTGTCAAGTGCACATGGATCTTGCGGTTTATAAACGTTTTTGAGAGCAAAACGACGGGAACCAGTTTGGTAGTTGAATGTGTGCAGGACGCTTGCAACTACAGTAGCAGAGGAGGAAACGACTCCAGCCACTGGTGTTTGTGCCCGGTTACCACTTGTGCACATCACCCAAATTTCGAGACGTAGGTCTTGAAATTTCAATTCTTCATCCTTGCCATTGTGCCCAAGATGAGGGCTGCATGTTTTTGTTTTTTTGCATGTGGTTCACAAGTTGGATCAGGTACACATTTGGGTTCGCGAGGTTGCCCTGCCTGAGGTCAGTTAAGTCATTTTGGTTGTGGTGTCTAGTATAGTAGATGTTCCTTGGCTTGTCACCAGACCACACCCAAGCCAATAGCAGCACTTATCAGACCTATCACAAGCTTTCACAGAACTGTCAAAAAGTGATTTCCGAAGGCTTGTAGCCCCGGCCTATAGCTGCATATGATATAGCTGCAAAAGTAGCCATCTAGTATTAGTTCGTGACACTAAATGACAAGTTGATGTTTCAGGACGCAGGGAAACTGGTGTTTTGTCCTTTTTCCTGTCAGAATTTCACCTGCTACAGTATCTCCTCCAAGAGAGCAGGAAGCGCTCCTGCAGATCAAATGAAGGCGCTTTTTGGGGCCCGGCCTGGGGTCCGGCCCCGGCCCAATGGTTCTGCCCAAAGGCAGCGCCTTTGTGAAGACGACTTGGGTCACTTGTGCTTGGCGAAAGCTGATGAGCTTGTGGCCTCTGCAGCGCCCTGGCAACCGATGGTCGAGACCTTCTTTGTTTGTTTCTATTAGAAATGAGGCTAAGTGAAAAACATGAAGTTTCTATCAGAATTGTGTTCCAGCTCCTATTTTGAGGATATTCAGATGTACCTTCGGTCCTTTGGTCGGTTTCCTTGGGTCCTTAGACTCAGGGTTTAGTATAGTGTGCTTGGATTTGTTCTTTCAATGGGGCCATTCCCACACTGGAGCATCTCTGCAGGGACCACTCCGAACAATCCGGAGACACACCTTCGATTGTCACACTTGTTTGTTTGGCCTGCCTTTGTTTAATACTGGTAGTTTGTTTTTTAATGTTTTTGTTGTCGAATCGGGCTGAACTAACAGTCCAGTCCTTCTTACGGCCCAGAATAAATGCTTGTCACTTGTCAAACCCATTTTGTCAAGACCGGTAAAGTTCAATATAGCTTTGTCAAGTGATTTGTTTTGTCAAATTTACGGTACTAGTACTCGGTACTCCAGTTCTTTTCACTACCAAGTAATGGCAAACATGTGTTTCCATGAAAGGCACTGCTCTTCAACCTTCGCTTGAACTGCGTGTCATGCTAACTATAACGCATATCTAATATCTATTGTAGTATGGGTTAGATAACATCCTGCCGCACCGCCAGGACTCTACTAGGTTACATGATCCATGAACAAATACCTACATGTTCTTAGGTTTACAAGTTCTGGGATTTTGTCCATCAGCGGGAACCAGATGCTTTTGGATGCTTTCGAGTCCAAGGTACCTCAATGATTCATGAAATCCCGAACTGTATATTGGGCCACCGCAGTTTGCAAGACTGACCTGTGGGCTGGCTCGGAAGTTTCAGCTGTGCACATGATTGATTCTAGTCCCAGTTTTTGGCCAGTTGTCAGAAGAAAGGTTGGTTGTCTATATAATTTGATATATGTACTGTACACATAGTGGTCAGTTGTCCCCATATAGATAGAAATGGTGTCCAATACTTTTTAGAGTGGATATACTGTTCTATATAGTTGGGGTGTATATTATATATATAGTTATTATAATACCTATTCAAATATATCCACCATCAAATTTAAATCTATCGCAGGATCCGTCCACTGATATATCCATCCATCTAAGACTGCTCTTTGGTACTGCATATCAAGGTTCGCTTCACTTTCGTTTGCTGTTCTCAGCCTCTCAGCCTGCGCAAAGCAGCTGAGGCCCGCCTGTCAGGCAAGAGGAAACACGATGTGGTGCGGCAGCTCAGGACGACTTGAAATGTTTAATCTGTATATATATACAGGTATATATATATATTATTGTGTTGTGCAATGAGGTATGGGTGTTGTGATGTGTATTGATTGCATTGGAGGCTCCCACTGTCGCGAAGTGTCACTTCCCATAGAGATCCAGGATTGTCGAAACTAGAGAAACCTTGGCCAACTTGTTGCACGTGTAGCCCTGCTTTCTTCAAGCAGGTGCTGCCTGGGATTAGTTTGCTCCGTTGGTTCCAAGGCTGTGCATAATTTGGACAAATCCAGCGTGAGAGGATCCTCACTTTCTCAAGGAAATCCTCAGCACCTTCTTAAGAAAACACATTTTTCGAATTGAAACTCTTCTAGGAGCAAGACTTTGATTTAATGCTGTAGGAAGACACCATTGATTTTCAAACACCATGGTTTTGCACTGCTTCGCAGTTCAGCAGTGCATTGAACACATAAGTGATTTGCATCGGTGTTCTCATGGTGTTTGTGAACAAGATGTCAGATCCTAAATCTCTTCGCCTGTCAACACTCCAACATCAACACAAGGTGGGCAACCACAAGACTGCGGCGTGTTCGAAAGTTTGTGTGCGCTATTTTAATTCAATTTTGTGTATAACAAAAAAAATCCAAAGGTGTCAATGCAGCCAATGCACATTCTGCACTCATGAATGCGTGCAATTCAGAGTCCTCCCTCTTCCTGTTGAAAGCCACTGGGGGAATGGATTCGAACCGCTTTTGTGCCCTTGGACACTCCCGATCCTAGAGGAGAAAGTCGAGGAGTTAACTGTTCCAGACGTCCCCTTCCTTTCGAAAGGAGGTGTGAACTCCACTTGACAACGGTGGCCTTTTCCGTTTCCCCAAAAACGCTCCGTTCCCCACGAGAACCGGGGCGATTGTCCCAAAACCACACGTGGACGAACTCGTCTCGTTCGCCGGTCCTTTGTTGTCGACCGGAGGTCATGGACAGCTTGCGCACCAAAGGCGGCCGGCGCTTCTTCCGGAAGCTGCTCCGGAACGAGATCCGGGCCACCTCCTCGGGGACACGGTCGTGCAAGAGCGGTACCGGGCCGGTACTGGGGGATGGCAGGTCTCAGCTGCAGTGGCATCAATCCTTTGGTGTTGGCATGCAATCAAGGTACGCAATCAGTTTCCATTTGGGAAGGCTATCCGCCCAGTTCTGTTGTGGATTTGTATGTTGCCTTGCTAAACCGCTACGTCATTCCGAAAGATTTTCCGGATGTAGACTTCTTCGTGATTCGTGACTCATGTCACTAAGTGGTTAGAATGAATTCTGGGGCAACACTCCAAAGCCATCAAAACCGAAAGCAAGTCATCAGTGCCTGATTCACCTCCCTCGAGGTCAGATGGTCGCGCTCGCGATCGCTTGCGGCTGCGTCTGCAGCTCAATAGAAAAAGTATGGACTGAGACTTTGTAGATGATGAGATACAGTTTTTTGACGTGTTCATTTTGGGTGCCTTTTACACTAATAGTAGAGGATAGTAGAGGTATGATCAGGATTGATCAGGTATTCACTTGTGTGGCTCGTCATGATCGGGTTTTCCTTCAGCAGCTTTCTGCCGTTCGTGAGCCGCTTGCCTTTCCGCAGATGTGCACAAACAGCATTTTCAACACTTCAAGCGAGCTGAATTTCTCGCCATTCCGTTCCCTCACCATTTTATCGTGGAACAGAGGTCACCGAAAACTCATTGTCTAAGTGTGTGCGCGCTAGTTGGCGGCAACATGTGTTTTTGACTTGCAAAACACACCCTACTTCTACACTGAACTTGTTGGCACTGCAACTCAGAGATGATGTTGAACACTTGTGAACATATTTGTTCGACTCCATTTCTTCAAGTCCGCCCTTGAAGCCCGATCACTATCAATCCAGACCTAGGCCACGAGCCGAACCATCCAGTGGCACTCGTGGAGAAAAGACAGTGGCACTGCCTGCGGGGCCTGTGGTCAGTGAAAGCTACGACCTGTGGCTCGCGGGGCTGCGTCATGCTGCGTCTATACGTGTGTGGTCACAGCGAACCCCCCCCAGGGTCGACTGTGGGGGAGAAAGTTTAAGAAGACCCAGGCATGGGCTCTCTCGATCATGGGACCAGTCAGACTGCGTCACAGGTGAGGCACTGCTTCACATGCTGAGAAATGGCAAACTGACTGATGCGTCAGAGAGCTACAACTGGAAAATGTTTATTCATAGAATCCCTCTGCTTTAGAGCAGAACTTGGACTTGTGCAAACCTTGAAATTGCAGTGTTCACATCGCACTTTGAACTGTGAACACTTTGTGGTTCTCAATTCTTGGCTTTGTGCATCATTTTGTGCCACATCACATCACATTTGATCCACCCATCAGACCATTTCTTTGAAGTAAAAGCTACTCTCCGTGTGTGCTAGCCATTCCGTGAGTACACATCTCAACCCCTGCTGAGCTCTCTCCTCTCCACGGTGTAGCCTTAACATACGTCGACTTACAAACACCACAGCTATTACTCCGGGAGAACAACACATGATCCGGTTCACCATGTTCACGTCTGCTTCGTGCGTTCTCGCCATCCTGTGGTTTGTCCAGGTACAGACCATCCGCTCGACCCACTGGGTGCGGAGCCCGGAAGAAAGGACGGCCGGGTGGAACAACGCCCTTGTGGCAAATTGGCAGTTCGAATTCACACCAAATTTATAAAACACCTGAACCATGTCTTCCATGGCCATGGGTCTGGTTGAATTTATTGCCCGAGGGTGGTCATTCGGAATTGGTTGCCATGTGTTGCTGATGGATGTGAGAGTGGGTGAATTTAGGTATCTGTCTAGAATCGTTACACGGGAGAAAACGATTCTTTTCTAAAGCTATCAAAGCTGTGATGGTGCTGTCATAGCCTTCCATTGCTCCACCTGCAACCATACTTCTTTCTGTTGTTTCATGTTGTTAAAAGGATTCTTTTGTGAATGAGAGAAGGAACACCTGGAACACCTCACTCCATGACTCACTTCATCTCCCCCTTTCGCCTTTCGCCCTTCAGCAGGTGAGGAGTTTATCTCCCTGGTGGCCACAGCCTTGGACTCCAGCTTCCGACGGGTGGAGGTGCGACCGGTCGAAGCGTTTGGAAGGTGTTGAAAAAGAGGTCAACATCACTGAGCATGAGTTTTTAGCATAAGGTTCAGATAGTAGAGGAAGCTTACTGCTGGAAGGGGCTATCATTGCACCAGCGGCGACATTTCAACATGACAAATATATCCACGCGACGCTTACGACAGTTTCGGCACCAGTGGCCGGTTGTTGATTTGTTGTGGCACCCAAAGACGGTGCTTCCACTTCCATCACTGGGTGGAGTCAGAGATGGTGTTTCTGGACAATTTGAGTTCATGGATTCGTCGGAGAGGTGACTGTGCAAATCACGAACCGAAATGGGTAGTTTTGATGTAGCTCGCATTTATGTACCCAGGTGAACAGGGGTGAAGAGTAAAGTATGTGAAGAACCATTGGCTGGGTTTTCGGATTCTGCAGAGTTCTTTGGTTTGGGTGAGCCTGTTGGTGCCCAAACCAGCTTTTGGACGTGAATCTTAACCTAGTGCTCCATGGCCTAGAAGTTTGTTGCGAGTTCCAAGCCTTGGCAAAGAACCTGGATTTTCATTTGCTGCAAACCAAAGGTTGTGTTCAGGCTTTGACCCCACAAGTGGCTATCATTGCATTGGAACAGTCTGCGTGTGCTGGGAGGCTGATTGGGTGGACATGGAATGCATTTTGGATTCCACAACAATGATGGAAAACGGACGACAACGGCATAGATCCCTGATTTTGTGCTTCACGTCATCCATTTCAGTGAGGCTCGTATTGCACTGCGAAAAAGCAACATGAAAGGAAGTGAGCTGAGATGAGCATGGATTGTGACCAAGTCCTTCGGGGCCTATACTTTTAAGGGCGTTGATATGAAGCGCTCCAATTTATGGAATGTTCTTTTGGGTCCATGGAATATGAGTTTTGCAGAGTTTTGCTGAGTTGCTTATGTCGGGGATGCTGGGGTGCTACATGGTCAGGACAGGGAATGGTCAGAGGAATGCTAGGGCTGTATATTCTGGGACCAGTTCTGGGACCCTATCCCCTTGCATATCATCTGGGGTGTATAGTAGAAACCACCACTTTCACAGCAGTGTCCCTTGAGTATCCTTGGGTGTACAGGATGTATTTAAGGGGAATCTGACAAGGCACGCAAGGAAGAACATCCTAAAAAAAGGGTGTATCCCATTACCCGAAACAGCTGTTAAAATGCTGATTCACTCATTGGGGAAAGGTTTGCAACCAGGTCCCATCATCCACGAATGCCCAGTTTGGGCCGTGGAATGCCCAAACTGGTACAGTAGTGGATATTGCATGATATACCTTTATAATATACTTGTATAACCCCAATCCGTAATGGTAGTATTTGTATCTTGGTCGGTAGTCTTCTATTATTTCGTTAACATCCGACCAACCACCAGTAGACCTTCGTTGCGCAAGCGCACCGGAAGCCGAGCGTAGCCAGGGGGAAGTGCCCTCCCTGTTGTTGAGGCCGGAAGTGTTGTTGAGTTCTGAGTGCGTGTGGAAGTCTTGGTGTGCAGTTATTTGAAGATCTTGGATGTCAGAAATACACAATAGAAATCTTGATTCCACAAGACAAAATTACTTAATGCCAGGGTTCCCCAACAGCAACTCGTGGATCAGTTGCCTTTGAAAAAAAACAAACATGTGAGATTGTATGTTGAGGTCGTTCATGCACAATTGTGAGTTCTTGTGTTATCGGAGGTATCCCGTACCTACAACCTACTAAGATCCAGTATTGGAATCAACCATGTTTAACAAGTTGTTTAACATATGTTGAGATATTTTGAGAGGTTGGCAATTCTTCCAAAGCCTTTGGTAGGACTCAGCTTCCAGGATCTTCCAGGTATTTCTTTAGGAAAGGGTGTGTGCGTACCCCACCGGAACTTGTTTGTAGGAAGGCAGGGCTGGTATCCTCTTGTCCTCGGACACTTGCTGATCGTAATCGCCATTGTCATGTTGAAGTTGCGATTGATACCGCTTAATGCTTGGGGGGGATGAATCGTCCCTTGCAATTTGATGGTGAGGGCAAGAGATGTGCCGTTGAGAAGCTGCCTAGACCAACTCGAACAAACGAGGTTTTTAAAGGTGCGGATTTGTGTGTCCATCAACCTCTACGACGGTGAAGACGTTTTATCAGAGACAGAGAAACGTCTGCCAGGCCTTTATGGAGATTAGCCGCCTCAAAGAGGAGCAAAGTGCTGTCAACTGCTGCAGGTCTACCACCACAACATGCAGTCGGCTTTCCCCCTGTGAAAAAAATATCTGCAGTTTATGATACAGTGCATATTTTGTGATTTGTGGTCTGCCGGTTGATATGATTGACTGGACACACAGAATTGCCACGTCCACAGGGAAAAAGGCCATGCGGCCATGCGGGTCAAGAATATACCAGGACCTTGGACCACCTCTCGTCCCCTGGAAAGAACATATTTGCTTCCAAAGTGACTACTGTCCATCATCCCACCATCTCCCATCCGTGAGTTGACCAACACCCCCAAGATATTGGGGATCTTCGGAGATAGTCACTTTCTGGGCCATGTGGGGGGAAAGCCCTTACGATCGTCGTCCAAGATCCAGCCAGGATTTGGCACCAGTGGATAGAACAAGTACCCAAGGCGCGATGAGTGCTATGATTTGGAGTGTAGGACGATGGGGATGGTGGGATCGCAGAAGGATGCAGGATGAGGTCAAAGGTTTGTAGGAGTTTTGCAGAGTGCTCTTGTAAGGGTTGGGAGGGCGCTAGAAACTCGTTGTGACTGTTGTCGCTCGTGAAGGCAGCCACTATAATGTGTCAGAGAAAGATATACACTACTATATACAAACAAGACTCCTGCTTTTTGTTGGAGTGTCGTGTTCTTGTTTACTGCTAGTAGCTCATAGCAGTTAGTGTTGTTGTTCTCGAGCACTCTGGAGGCGACGAACACCGACGACTCCTGGGGTGATGGTTTGAACATCTCATCCTGCAGGGTCTCATGGTCTCACATTTCGGCAGGGTCCACAGCTGGTGGAGAAATTGGTGAAACATGTTTGTTGATCTCGCAATAAATTTCACACAAGACACAAGACATGATGTGTTCTTAAGTGCTAAACGGTTGTGACTGTTGTGACTGTTATGTCAGAATTGGTTGACGTCCTCACGTCCTCGTCCGTGTCCTGCTTGAACTGAAGTTGTTGACTCCTTGAACGGCAGGACATCGTTGTCGATTGTTAAGGTGACACGCTTTTGCCGCCCTTCAAACAACACATGGCGGTAAACACAAAACATATGAACACCTCAAAGGCCCCCCAGACGGGTCATATACAGCTTGGCCACATGGGTGTGTATTTGGAAGGAAATTAGGCCCGCCCGTTTTTGGAAGGTCTCCTTCGGCCTGCCAAGTAGGCATCCATGCCTAGTGGCCTAGTGCCATCGTCAAAGACGACGGTCATCACCGAAGATCTCCGTGTCCATCGTCAGGTGCCCGTCCGAGAAGAAGGGCTGGGCCTGCCCAAGGATGAGCGTGTGTTTGTGGGGATCGATCCTGCGGATATTTGAGGATCGATCTTGGGTGTGTCTGTGTGTGTGTTTGCTTTTGTTTGTGTGTTGGTGGGCCGGGTGCGTACTCAAGTTGCTTCTATTTTGGACGGAAGGATGTTATTGCCTTTGGCAATACATGGATGGTGATCTAGAACTGTCACATGTGGTGGACTTTCACATGGCAAACATAGCAACTTGTCTCAACAGGAAGGAGCCTGAAACCTCAGATTCTTGCAATTGGTGTTGCCAAGACTGAGATGCCAACTGACTTGCTGGATCATTGATTCGATCGGCTTTTTGCTGCCGACTGTAGGTAAAGTTGTCATAAAGAAGAACGGATGTCAAACACATGTAAGGATATGTCATATTAAGGAACTTAACTTTATTTACTTTTGTTTTATACAATCTCAGAAGGACAAGCACAGCTGGTAGTTCTTTACTCGAGACTGCAGCCTCCCACCATTTGGCAGCAATTTTGTCCATCCGTAGCTAGTAGGCTAGCAGTGATAACTGGGCAGTGTGGGAAACCAGTGAACCGCAATGTAGAGTGTTGTGCTTCCTTTCGCAGCAGGGGATCTTGGGATGTCAACCCCAGGATGTGGATGTGTCAGACACTGCGTTGACCCTTGCGGGACTCGACAAAATGATTGATACACAATGCATTGATTATTCATGCATTCACGTGGCGGTTCATGTACCATGATCTTCGCCTGGTGTTTGTATGATAATTTGTATGTTCAACTGTTCAACTACTGGTTTTCGAGGGCTTGATATTTGTTTCACCTACATACGTACCCAATCTTCTAGCTTTCCGCTTTGGATTTTCAGGAAGGAGTCCGTTGGCTTCAATCCCACACCCCGTTGCGCCTTTGGAAACTCCAAAGCTGCTGTAAGACCAATGCTCTAAGTCGCATGGATTTTGGCTCCAAGTCGCTTAAGTGGATGCGCAAACCCATTCTTTGATGGGGCTCTGGAAGATCCATTGATTTTCTGTATATACATTACCTCTTCACCTCTTCAAACAGGACTGCCACTCACAAGGATGCCGAACTACTAGCCGACCGCATCAAGAACCAATTTGTGGATCGGGTGCTTCAATATATATATATATATAATAATTATAATGTAGAATAAGAAGACACAAACACATCCAACACGAGTAGCATTTGACATGGACTCCTCGAAACATCTGCCATCCAGGATCTAACGGAACCATCCCTCGCGAAAGAGGAAGCGAGACTCCCAGCACTCGTACTCCAAGCACCCAGTTCAGCGGTCGCGAGAGAGGCAGAGCAGAAGAACGGGACGGGAATGGGTGGAGATGCCTGGAGTCAGTCAAGCCATAGGACCTATTCAAAGTACAGGAAGATGATTGACACAGATGTTTTGTGCACGCTCCAAGTTCTTTGACCATCAACTCCGCCAAGATCAAGATGCCGCATGCATACAGCTCAGAATCAACAACATGTGTTTAAGTAGTGGAGCTCATTGTCAGAGCGCAGATGATTAAATTATGTAACCAACGTAGCCCCTTCCAGCAGATGTTGTTTCTTTGACGAAAGACTATGCAGCCGTGACTAGGGGTGCAAAGTAGGAGCATGCAGGATCAGGAGCCGAGAATCACGACCAGGCGCTCACTCGCAGAGACAAGTATTTCCGGTACTTGAAGTCGATGGACAGGGCAAACCCATTATATATATGTATGATTCCGATTCCTGTTGTTCAACCATACCACACCTGACAAGGAACCTCTTTTGGAAAAACATGGCGGCCGAACAATGAAGACCAGATCAGATTAAGCCAGGCCACCGACTGTAAATGTTTGTTTAAGATATGTTTGGCCTTTGCCAGCCTTAACACCATCAACTGTTCCCATCTTGAAGCCAATCCAGGATCCGGAAGAAGCCCTTGTGAAAGGTGAAGCAGCACCCAAAGCGGTCGCAAGAGAGGAAGTACAGAACCAGGTCTTGGGGACACGGGTTTGAGGATCGGAGATTAGAGAGGGACAACAGCTTAACATATTAGACTAGAAGATATGGCCGTTTGTGCAGCAACATTTATATAGTTATATGCTATAATTAGTAATGACTGTTACATGTTTATATAATGCAAATACAGTGTTTTACAGACCATTTATGTATGTATTAGTCATTATCCATCTATATGTTTTAGCAACCAAGATCAAGATGACATTGCATGCATAGAGTTCAGAATCAGAGGCAGATCGCAATTGTTGATGGGGTGTTTCTTACTCACCGTGATCAATTCTACCCTCCAAGAAACAAGCGCAGGCCTTTCCAAAGAAGCACGTTTTGATAATTGCGGCAACGTAGTGTAAGTGCCACAGAGTCCTCTCCCAGTGAAGTTTTACCTTCCGAGCTGTCTCATTTTTACTGGAAGTTACCTCAACTCAACTTGGACCTACACTCAACACTGCTTGTAGCGTGACAACCTACTTTGCTTCCGCGCCCGCTCAGTTGAATTGCTGGTAGGTCCCTGGTAGGTCCTGTTTGTGCCGCGTCTGGCCCTTCAGGGGAAGAAGGCATCCAAAAAGCACAAGCTACAGGCGCGGTTGTTTCGACAAGCCAACATTCAGCACCTCCTCCAGCGTTTTGGCAACAGAAACTCCATAAGCTTTTTCATATGGTTTGCAGCTCAGCCCCACGCGTGGCAGAATTGCGCTGCACAAGCGCATCATGGCAGCTTTTCTCGTGGCAAAAGACCGGCAACAGTGGACTGCAAGGCTACAGCTTGCAGTCTGCCGTGATTCCATTGGGAGACCCTTTTTCCACCTTACTCTGTCGGCTTTGCAAGGATTGGAGTCGACAGTCCCTGGCCATGCTCCAGGAGATGGGTCAGGGCCTCGTAGGAGCCTTTTGAGGGATGGGTTCGGGGCTCGTTTCACTGTAGGACTGGAAGAGCCTGTTTTGATGAGGCATTTGGTGGCCCTTGGTATCCAGGGCTTTGAATGATAGGACAGGAGCATATTTGGACATACTCTTTGAACATGGAGTTCACAACAGCATTAAACGTCCTGCAAACAACACGACCTCGTAGATTTGAGAGTTTTTTGACTACTTACTCACCAGTCGCGACTAAGGTTGGAGCCGCCCCAAGCACTGAGGGGACCAACGCGGTCGGTGGGAACGCTGGGACCTTCACGATCGGATTCAGTCGGGGATGTACGAGTGAAGCATAGTGAAGCCCAACGCCTCACTCTGAAAAACAAAACATTATGGTCTTATGGTGCAACTACAACAAACTGAGGATTTGTTAACAATTGTGTACTTGTGTATGATTTTATGCCAGCTCATGACTATTCATTATTTGATTCAGATTATTTTGTGTTTAAGTTAGTTCTACCATGTTCTACCCTTTGGAATTTTAATAATGACACACCAAAACATCCTCACATATCCTCACCATAAGAGTCATCAACTGTAAAGACATGAATAATATGATATAAGTTTGAAGGACGTAATCCTTACAACAGCATCCTAGATTTAGAGGTGAATCATAAGGGACAGATGTGATTCTAAGGGCCCCAAACATATGATCATTATGTTATTTTCCTTTGGGTTTCTCTATTATAATTGTTATAGCTATTTCTTATCGTATGGGCCCTTTAAGAACCCCTTAAATATAACTTTGATAGATGATGCCAACTAAAACCAATAAATCCTTCAAGATGTGTTACTTCAAGATTCAAGTTGTTCTACAGGACTGTGAAGCACAGATGACACCCGTGGACCAAGCCAAGCAAGGCAAGCATCATAGGCCACGTCAAGAGGTGGAACATCCATTGGATTGCTTATGACATTATGATTTTTTGGCCTTTCGAGCTTTCGAGCGCCTTGGAAACGATTCCCAGCCTCCCTGTGGTCTCAGTTTGAATCGAAGAATGCCGGGGCCTCGTGGATTTCACGACGCTTCGACGAGATGCGAGATGCTGCGCGCCGAACTTGGTGCGACGTCTTTGTCTTGCAATGTGTTTTAAAAAACATGTCCAGCAGTTTTCGGGCCGGCTTGGACAACCAAAAGTGAGTCTCCTCTCTGCCTTTGAAGAAGAGATAGGGAATGACCTGATCCGGTTAGGTCATTGGGTGGATAGAAGCTGGTGCAGAAAAAATCAACAACTACAAAATTGGACCCCGAAGAGAGACTTCAGCTTCCAGGTGGGCAACCTTTGGTGTAGTTCAAAGATCAGATTGGCAACCTTTGGCACTCATATTCCATGGAGACTACTCACGCAAAGGGTTTTGCTGGGTAGATCTTCATCAAGTCTTTGAAACATCCAATGCAGCTTCGTTGAGAATCAGTATTGACATGTTGATCTTACGTATTGATCTATCAATCTGTAGTGGATCCTAGCGAAGAACACAACAATACAAAGCAAGTGTCCCTAATTACAGACAACAGCTCCCAAGCTTTAAGATGCTTTAAACGAATGGTAGGCAGACTTGACTACAACTTGTGTTTCTCTCCCTGCAGGCGTTTGCTGTCTCAAGTCGAACAGCCAGTGGATTCCGGAATGTGCAGAGTTTCAGTTGAGCTCCAGAACCGCAAGACCGGGAAGGATGTGATGAGCATAAGGTGGGGCAAAAGGGTCTCCATTGACTCTCCATTGACTGACGAGCCAGGCCTCGGCATTCTTTGCTCAGGGACAAATTGAGGTAGTAGCCTTTGCTCTGATCAGCAGCAGCAGCAACCAGGAGGCCCTAAACTGATGCTGCAAAGCCACACACTTCGGAACATACAGTCTGTAATCTGCCACGCCTGAGTCAGTTCCGGAAATACCAATTTCTCCGGATCTGCTCTTCGCCAGCATGCCATGCATGCCCCCTGCTCGCGCGCCGCAGCGCTGGCGGCCGGACTGGCACTGGCAGCGGGACTGGCGGGGGTTCCGGCGCTGGGACCGGAGCCCCTCGGCGTCGGGGGTTTTGTGCCTGACCTGGATCAGCAAATTCAGTCCTGCGCTCTGAGAGAAGTGTTGGCAACTGATGTGTCAGAGGTTGAAGAGCTGAGGTTGCTCCACAACTTCAACCTCTCCAGTGTCTCGCTGCTTGGGGATGAGACCTCAGTGCTGGTGGCCCATGCGCCTCAGCTGCGATCCGATCCGGCGTCCAAGGACAGTCGGACAGTCGCGCTTTGAAGGTCGTGCATGGTCGTGCAGGGCATGGGCTCTACTTGGTGCTTTAAGGTTCTTTTTTAGCACCTAAAGCTCCTAGAGCCCAGACATCCTGGCCTTCTAAGCGTCAGGCCACCAGATGTTTTTCACGGGGTGGATGACCCGTGGCATGGCCCTCGGGTTGTTGGAGGCATAGGTCCTGTAGGTGAAAGATCATGAAAGATGGAACATAGACGTCTCGAGTCCCGAGTCCCGACATTCTGGTGAATTGTCGCTGCATGTTGGTGGTTCAATTGCAATCGATTTGATCATAGGTATTTCATGGTATTTCTGTGTAAGACTCTTTGCTTGCATGATTCTCTATGCGCTGACTTTGCCCACCCTGGAAGTACCGACAGCTTCTACATGTCACCCGTTCTTCATCCCAGGTCCAAAGCGCCGAGGCGGGTCCACGCCGCCGCACCGTCAGGACTCATAGATGATGAATGACTCCATGTTGTGAATGCATCCGCAGGATGATGATTTACATTTGATGGACATTAAGAAGCACACTAGATCTGTCCAATCAATTTTCCAATCTACTGTGATGCTGGCAAACCGGAAAAAAGTAACAAACGGTGCGCAGAAACGCATCGTTTGTAGAATGAGATCCACTGCAACTCTGGATCCGCTCCTGCACTCGTGTGCTCGATTCCGCAGACATCTGCGGATCCATGGTTTCAGACTCAACTGCTTGGAGATATCATCATCCAGACATTGGATTCCTTGCCGGTTTTGTCCAACGAATCAAGTGAAGCTACAGACCAAGGACTTTACTTCCAGACATGCTCTTTTTCAAGCATTGGGAATTCGGAAGGTGAAACCTTCAGATTTCCTTTTCATTAGAGAGGATTCATCCTCCTCTGTGTTCGGGTGCAAGACCAGCGCCGGAAGCTGGGACCAGCGCCCGGCAGGTGCGAAACCAGCTAGGCTAAGCTCGTTGGGACTGGACAAGACGCATGCGGACAAACCGATGTTCACGGTATTATTGGTACTGATTCAGTTCGAGGTGTTATTTGGTAAGAGTCAAACCACACCCAGGTCTCATGGATTCCAAGTGAACTCAACCAAAGAACAGGGCGTACAAAGAATAGCCAAAGTTATTTTATGTTGTTTTCTGTAAATGTATGGTATAGGTAACCCTTAACCAGCTACAACCCAACATAATTATTGCAGTATACATGTTCTTTTGAGGTTTACACAATCATATGTTCAAGATCCAAAATGACCAAAGCTTATTGCACCAGCACAACAACACCCCTTGCCAATCAGTCTTCCCTGTTCAGAACGGCAAAAACCACAAAGATGCATTATACTGTAGATTGATACATTTTATATAATTGAGATGTTTGTTCCTGGGATTTTGCTACCCAGGCGGGCGCGGCGCTACACGGAACCACGACCCCTTTGACCCCTTCGAACGACCGGAAGCGGGGCTTGTTTGAGGCGTGGGAACTGCACTTGTCTCGCCACACCCGGAATGGTCTCGAGTGGAATCACTCCGAGGACCGGAGAAGACGGGCTGCCAAACGGGCTGCATGTGATCGTCCATGTGCTCGCTGGTTTTGGTGATCCTGTGAGGTCGAGAGGTCATGGGTTTGGGCCAGGTTTGCTTCAGATAGTTATAGATGCAGTTGTGCCACTCAGCAGTTGTGCCACTTGGCCGATGTTCACAATTTGACCTCTATTTGACCAGTGCCCGAAGCCCTTTAGGCCTTGGCTTCCTGTCATTCACCACACTTCATTGGTGTGATTGCAGAGTGACAAATCAAGAATTAGCCCATGAGAAGATATCAGATATCAAGTTTAAATTAAGTGGATAAGTGGCGCCAATCTACAGATTTGTGACGTTGTTGCCTTGTATTCGCGTGAATCCAGAAACGGGAGAAGTAGCGTATCTTATAGTGAATTTGTCAACAGCAACATAATGGTGTCTGATGATGTCTTGTGCAAAGGCTGAAAAAACGAATCTATACCAGCGCCACAAAGTGTGGATAGTTATTGGATATAGGACATCAGTAAACACATGGTCCAGGCGGGATCTATCAACCACCCGAACTGGGTGGTGCTGGTAACCTGGACTATCTGGACTCTTCCTTACCCCGGCCGTGTCGTGGTCTTTGGTAGGTAGACCTTTTCGGAGGGTCCATTCATTTTGTGTAGGCAGGGAAGAGGATTGAACATATGGTGTCGCTGAAACTTCTGAAACCAATTTATGACTCCACCAGGGACCTACATGGTAGGTGACTACCATGTAAGTCACTTACTGCAGTAAACCATTGTAGGTAAACTTCTAATGAAACTTCAATCTGCGGCGCTACATCGCCTCCTTATCGCCAGGAGACATCCACCTTCATCGCCTCCTTGTCGGGTCCGCTGGTGGGAACGGCCATTGCACGAGCGACCAGTGCGTTGCTCCTGGCATATGCCGAGGAGGGACAGGCGCGTTTTCTTTTTCGAAGAGGTATGTGCTTGCCTCACAAAGGTGGTTGGGTAAATGTTGCTTTCAGAAGTGGACAAACATGTGTGGTGGTTGTCGTGGTTGTTCTGAAGGGATGTGAAGGGGTTGCCAGTTGGTGATTTTTGAAGACTGGGAGAACATATCATTTTAGACTGGACTGAGTTTCGGTTCACCAGCTTGGATATGACACCAAATTGGTAGACCAAACATGGTCTTCAGAAGATTTACTTTTCACATGAGCACGCTGAGCATCAGGGACTCCCTCACTTGGGTCCTCCAGGCACACGAGAGAAACCCAAAAAGACAAAAAAACAACCGCAACAACCAACCAACCAACCAACCAACCGACCGACCGACCGACCGACCGACCGACCGACCGACCACCGACCACCAACAACAACCAACAACCAACAACCACCGTTTCATTCAGTCTTTTGGGTCATTCTTTAAAAACAAAAAAGTGTTTTCCAATGAATGAAATGCGTCTTTTCGAAGACAATGAGACCCGTCGATTCAACGAGCCACCAGGTGCAGCTCCATGCGCTGTCGCACGGAGGAGCTACCTCCTCCACGGCCGTGGCGGCGAATGCTACGGCGGTGCAGCTGGAAATCCATGAGGTCTGGAGATGGGGCCAGTGGGGCTAACTAAGTGGGGTGAGACCTAATGATACCACATGATACCTAATTATAAACTGTTTCACTTGAAATAGATCCTGTGATGTTTTTGTTTTTGTATAGATCTTGATAGACTTGGTGCAATGTGGTGCATTTCAGGGCGCGCCATCGGCCAATCAAAAAACACGCCGGCGACGGATTCGTCTGCCCAGAGGAACGGTTGGGGGCGGAGCGGATAGGTCCGGATAGACGAATAGCTTCTTGTTACTACTAGTAGTAACAAGTGCCACGCTAGTAGTAACAGGTGCCTCACTAGTAGTAACAAAGAAGCTATTAGAATTAAACTTAAAATTAAATTAAAAGCTTCTTGTTACCACTAGTAAGGCACTTGTTACTACTAGCGATGCACTTGTTTCTCATAGGATCTTGTTACTACTAGTAAGGCACTTGTTACTACTAGCGACGCACTTGTTTCTAATAGCTTCTTGTTACTACTAGTAAGGCACTTGTTACTACTAGCGATGCACTTGTTTCTAATAGCTTCTCGTTACTACTAGTAAGGCACTTGTTACTACTAGCGATGCACTTGTTTCTAATAGCTTCTTGTTACTACTAGTAAGGCACTTGTTACTACTACCTTCTTGTTTATAGACCATATGCATCGATATGTTTTGGCTTCATACCAACAATATGCAGTTTTGGCTTTGTTGACTATGTTGATTCCTCGCTTAGTTCTTAGCTGTAGAGACAACCAAAGGATCTGGCTTTAATCATCTATGTGGAAAGACCATTTGTGTATCCGCTTTCGTCGGCAACCTGGCTATGTTGTCCCTGCTCAGAGCGCGATGCCGGAAGTGCAAATGTATTGTGTTTCGTAGCTCAGGAGCTGGCCGTGCTTTCCATGCTCGAAACTGGTCTGGGGCGTCTTTCCGCGTGCAGCGTTGAGACGCAGGCACCGGGAGACCACAGTTGAAGTAATGTTGCAAAGACGTATGTTTAATTTCTACATGAACTGAGCAGACATGGTTTGGTGGATCAGGGCTGCCAAATAATTGTAGTTGGTCTATACTGGGACCTTCCACTAAACCACGTTTGCGACACTGAGTATGCATTGGCAAGTCAGGGTGAAAAATAATGACATGTATTCTGTATTTGTTTATGACTTGGACTTATACCAACAGCCTTTGCTCCAGATGTGAGGTGTTCATTCAACACGATGGGGACCCGTCTCCTCTATGTATCCCTCCAACCCCTCCACGAGTCCCTCGGTAAGTCCATGGGAGTGCAGCCAAAAGAGAGTTCAGGGTGCTCCAATACTGCAAGCAAGCTAATTTGCTCCGCAACTCACATTTGGAGGTAGTTCGGTCAGACATGGAGGGTGTACAAGAAGATCTACTTTGCAACTAGTTGTACTTACAAAGAAAGGTCCTGTATTTTATATGCCAAATGACAAGAGACTGAGTTAGAGCAGCCCCAGTGATCTCCTGGATCCTTTTGGGGCTGTCAAGCCATACACCTCCAACTACATCCCTTTCAAAGATGGTTGGGGTGGGTCTCCGGAGCCTAACCACCTGAGGTTGCGGTTGGAGCCCTTAGGGACGCATCATCAAGCCACAGTTCAATGACCCTCCAAAGCGGTTGTTTCATAGGACCAAGAAGATTACGGTGATTGCAGGGAGTGAAATTAGGAAACCCTGGTAGATGCTCAAGATGTTTTACATTCGCCTAGTGATTCTGTTTGTTTGTTTGTTGTCACACCAACACAGTCAGAGATTCAGAAACAGACCCCACTACACCAAAGTAAGCAGTATTTTGCATGCATTTGTGTCAACCTGGGGAAGTCTTTCGCACGAGCTGTCCGCGTATTTCCGACAGCCTGGGGTAGCCTGACAGGTCAGGGCGTAGAATGTTCAAGTGTACACTGAATGATTGATTTGTTCAGAAATAGCCAAAGGGTACTTTGAACAAGCATGAAGCTCATGTATATAGTCTGAACATGAGCCTGTTCAATCTCGAAGGTTTGTAGACTGCATACTGCGCATGGCATCGCCCAAGTACAATGAACTTCCAGTTGTAACATACTGTAGTCTATTGTAGCCAAACCACCCAACGCTTAATGTGGGTTTTTATGCGTTTCGTTAAACCCAATATGGTTCAGACAGCAAGCTTGTTAGTTCGTATGTTTTAAGCTCAGAGCAGAGGCTTCTGGATGCTTTGCTGGTTCGGAGGTCACTCCCGTGTCCTTCTGGATACTTTTAAACACAGTTATCAGGGAAGGTTTTTTCAACAGATGCTTTAAATGCAGGACTCGGGGCAAGTCAGGCTAAAGCATGGCCAAAAGCTGTGTACGTAGTACGTATATATTTAAACAGGACCCCAAGTTTGACTCCCGGTAAAGGCAAGTGCACAGAGCAAGGCTTGACATTAATTCCATGTATAGTTTGCTTGGGGACTGGGGGGGACAATTTGTTCAAGGTTGAAATTAAGCACCTCCTGAGATTAAAACTATAATCATGTTCACTAGCTACATGCTGCAACATAGTTTGTGCGCATCGGAATGAAATGGTGCGTTCAATTTGTCCCATCCACAGTAGGTGGGGGGCCTCAGCCAAGCAGCCAGGCGGCCTCAGTGAATGTGATTGCTTGCGCTGAGGGGCCTGAGGTGTGATGATTCATCGGGCCTCGCGTTGAGGAAGACAGGAGTGCACATGCTGCCTGAATGAAGACAAGGGAAACCAAGTGTTTGTTGCATTTTTTCTTTGGCCAGGCTTTATCATTTGTGTGGAAGGCGCAAGAGTTCAAGGAATGCGTTTCTCATCGTACATATATACATGTTTTTAAACATATTGGGTTGAAGGTTGATATCATTTGTTGATTTGTTTTTGTATGTTTTTACCACTGACGTTGCTTGTGTTGTTTTGAGCTTTCCTGGAAGAGGAGTGAGGACATGAGCGTGAGGGGCGGGGTGAGCAAGACTCCAAGACCAGGTTGCTGCCACAGTGACCCTCCCTGAAACAATCGTGGTTACGTGGAATACAGCCTGTAGACGTAGAGGAACACCGCTTTCCTTTCGGGGCCATGTTTCATGTAACCATGTTTGTTGGATGGGCTATGGATGGCTATGGGATTGGCCACAATCAAGAGTAAACGGATCGTGAAAAATTACGAAGCACTGATCGTGTCTTTGTACTTCCTCCTGTGGAGTGCAGGCCACAAGCTTTCGCTCCATCTCCTTGACCAGTGACCTGTCTTGAGGGTGGCTTACGGCTGGGTCGAAAGCAATCGGACCAGCTTCAACTCCCTGGAATGTATTGAGTTTACTTTGACCAACTTGTGACCGGGGTGTGAATGATTGCTTATAAATGGACACCTGTTTGTAGCTGGTGATTGATGATTATATGGATACTGATACTCTGTGTGATGGAAAGTGATGACGAGAGAACATTGTTGTATTTGGTTGGTCTAGTTTGTGTTAGTTGGTTTCCACTGTGACCGTTACAACACCTTTCATGCGTTGGTCGTCAACTTCTTTGTACGAGGCCAGTTGCAGCTCATTTTTATGGACACCTACTGCGGCAAGTCTTTCAGAGATTCTTCATTTTGTTCATCTCCAAGCAAGCTTAAAGCTCCCTCAGAAAATCTCAGAAATAAGTTCATGCACGGTTAGGTGTCTTTGGGATGTTTATCTTAATGTTGCAAGGCATTGTACGGCCTCCCGCAGCGCTTCTCGTTTTTTTTTTCCTCCAAGGCGCAGGGTTGGTCGTCTTCTACGTCTCGCCAAATGGTTGGGAGACCGAGCCGAACTGGTTGGGATACGGCATCGAGCCGAACCGGGGTGAAGATATCGGAGACTCAAGTCGCTGGTGAGTATAGTATGACCGGCACAGCTCAGTTGAGGATATGATATGACTTGATCTATAGTTGGACAAACTGATCTAACTCTCCTGCAAAGCGCAGATACCATTGGCAAGCAGATAAGCGTCGATGACCACAATATGGGCACTTTAATGTTTGTGATGACAGCAGACACTACTTTGCCTATGCTGATCTATGTTGAAACACACGTGTGCATGAATTTTGCACAATTATCGTCGAACTCCTGCAAACAAGCTTCAACCTCTCATGCTTTGAAGTGATGTGTTTTGTTCTTTGATATTCTTTGCCAAAGGGTCCCTTCAAAGCATGGATCTACCCATGCCAAGGTGAGCTTCGAGTTTCTTCACTGGTTGTTTCACCCTTCCAAGTTTCTTGGACCTCGAGTTCTTCTGTCTTGAGCTCCTCGGCCTTGAGTTTCTGGGTGTGTTTTGGGGTTTACTCAATGGGAGAGGGATGGAGAGGGTATTGTTTTTGATGTTTTTGATTCTTTTGGAGACCCAATCGAGTTCATATCACACGATCATAAATTATAGCAAGTTGAGTTGATTTTGATGTCACCTTCGAGGGACAGAGTGCAGCTATTTTGCCAACTAGGAGAACGTTCGTTTTTGCCTTGAGCACATTGCAAGCACAATCTATGAAAATCATATAATATCATTATATTGGATGAAACAGGGCTTTGGAACCGCATGGAACATCTTCATCAATGGTTCATTGTCCATCCATCAGTCTCTTTCGGTAGGCCGAGTGTTCTTAGTCACCCAACACGCAGCCCTCGGCAGGACCTCCGAAGCGGCCCGTCCTCCGCCGGCGTCGTCGGCGAAGCTCCGAAGCTCTTGAGGCGCCGAGGCAGCAGGCGTCGGACGGCGAGTGCTGTGGGTGGAGCAGCTGCTCTCAGGGGACTTCGGCGCATTGCTGCAGGAGCGGTCTTCCGTCGTGACGTTGGAAGACCGGCGAAGAGAGCGGTCACGTTGTAAACGGGCCATCGGGCCGCCCTGTTGTGTGTTGTATTTTGTGTTTTTCTGAGAGTATGCGTCTCATTCATCCAAATGACCTGGCCACAGCCTGACTGAGCGTTTAGATGCGTTTAGTGCATTCTTTTTGAGTACGACGTTTTAATTGACTGAATAGCATGAATAGCAAGAACGTGTTCAGGAAGGGAAGAGGTAATGCGCATCCTCCAAGCTCTTGAACTGTAAGAGAGAGGGTTCGGAAGACTATGTGTTTCAGACCTCGTTGATAATAGGGTGCCATAAATTGTTCAAAGTTTGTTGTTGTTGTTGTTGTTGTTGTTAGTTTAGCAAACCTTATTACTGGTTACTAGCCGGTCTTGGGAGGCAATTTCCTCTTTGAGGAGCCCGTTCGTAGCGTCCGATCGCTCCTGGTGAGGCCAGGAGCCCCTAGTAGCTTCTTGTTCCTAGTAGCGATGCCAGGAGCCCCTAGCGCTTAATATATATATATATATTTGAATATAGCGCCCTCACTGCCAGGTCACTTCCTGCCACTTTTTAGTCTCCCTTTCAGCCACTGTTTCGAAGACACTATGTGCCTGGGTTCGGTCTTCACGCAGACTGCAGATCTAGGAGTCGCCAGATGGCCCTGCTCGCTTGGTGCTTGGACGCTTTCAGGGCACTCAGCTCCAAGTGGTGATGGTTGCAGCTGCTTGGCGACCTGCCGCTTTGGTGGTGCGGAGCAGTGAACCTCAATGAAACATGAGAGAGTCAGGTAGTACTGATAGAAGAATGCTCTCTCATATACTGTACCACTTTAATGGAAGACAGACTCACTGGTGTCCTGCAGACCTGGACGCTCATGTGTTGTTTCTTGTTGTTTCATTGGCTATGATTAAGCAGTTGGAAGCAAATCTATACAAATCAGAGCGTGCTGTAACAAATCGTGAATAGGCACCCCAAAGAGCTCAGGCAACACACATGCCCTGGTTTGGTTGCTTAAGCTTCCCAATCTATATATAGCTCCAGCTACCGGAGAATCTGCTTGAGGATGCTTGAGGTATGTTTGTATTCTATCCAGATCATGTGAGGCCTAACTCCGAAACAAAAACAACTGAGCCCTTCAATTCGGACCAAACGGACCGTTCGAGCCGTCTTCGCGCGGTGCTTCGAACGATTGCGCCGAACACGCTGGCACCAGGCTTTGCCAGACCCTGACTTGGAGCGCTTCGCTCAAGCACCCAGCGGCGCGCTGCTTTTGGCTTCACGTGCCGGTGTGCGCTTCGCAGTGCAGGCGGTTTGGTTGCGCTTTGGGTTCAGACAGCAGGTCTTCCTAGAGAAGAGAGCATGGATGAGCAGGGAGGGAACATTGAATTTGTCACATCGTTGTTTTTGCGTCCTGAGTCCTGTCATTGATGATTCCATGTTCAACTCGTCGTGGAGTGTGCACTTGTCACTTCACTTCAATGTACACCAACCTCACTCCGGTGGACCATGTTCCTTGTGCTTTTGGGGATTGTTTGTTTTTTTTGTGTTTGGTTGTTATGGTTTCTAAGAACTCCAGTTGTACGGTCGCAAAATCGTTTTTGCTGCGCTGCACCTCCATGACGCAACTATGAAGCACGTCGTCAGGGTCAAGCCAGCTTGACTGTGGGTCCAGCCATAGCCGTCGATGCACTCTATGTGCAGAGTGTCTGGGGCCTCAGAGTGTCGGTGGCCAGAACCTTGAATGATCGTGCCAGGAGGTGTGGCCTTGGCCAGGAGGTCTTGTTAATCCCATGAGGCCTTGTTGAATGTCTACACAAAGTCTAAGTGGTGAATTGGTGTCGATGACCAGATGACCAAACAACGTCCTTTGGATGTTCAGTTATTTTGACTGCTCCATACAAAAACAGTTTGGATCAAAGTGCTTTCTCCCATGAAATCGAAGAAGTTTATTTTTGCCTCAAGCTGAGATTTAAGTCATCACACACTAGATTCAGGAGTATAGTCCCATACAATATCCCTATAGTCTCCCCAAACTGATTTCTTTTTTTGCCGATCCGACGTTGGACCCAAGAATTATTGCTTCACCGCACTACTGAACCGTGTGGCGCTGAACCGGTGGGCACGGTCGACCGTGGTGGGGTGAAAAGGGGCGTGCGGCTCGCATCTGAGGTGAAGTCTCAAGGCTTGCACACTGAAGCTATTCTGGCGACCGCCACCTCTCTACGGTGTCTTGAGAAGACCGTCTGAGTTCGCGTTGAAAGTGTGTACTGCAGGAAGAGCGGTGCTGAGATTTATGATCAAAGCGATTTTCGGACAAGCTACTTTTGTGGGAATGAAATGGCATGGATGTATGAGCAGCCTACCTCGTCAGTACTGAGGGATGGGTTTTCCCACTACCGAAACGGGTGAACCTTTATTTTCCACGGACACTGAGTCTACTCAGGCAGGGTCGCTCACCTGGTGATTGTGTGATTTTTTCATTTGGAATTTGTATGTTTTCATGATGCGTGTGGATACAGTAGTGTGGATTCTGGGTGAGCACATGACCATCCATAGGACCTAGGATGATAGATCAAAAGCCCCCCACCGGTCTCTCACTGGTCACTCTAAAGGGATTGGCTGAGTTCTGGCCGAGAACCATCCAGCTACTGTACCTGCCAATAGCGGGCTGCCTATCATAGTATCCGCAAATATCCGCAACATGTTGCTTCCTCCCAAGTCAAGTCATCAGAAAAATAGACTTGGTTAGGTGTGTTCACTTGTTTTGCTCACATGTGGATTGGCCATCATTGTTGTTTGGATGTTGGAAAGTCTTCATAGCCAGAATGAGTTCTCTTGGGTCGAGTAGACAGCGGTTTGCTGGTTTTTGATTTTGCCGTCCTTGAAATTCAAGTTGCCCCTTCGACGGGATTGTGGACGACGAAAAGAACATGTGTTTGTTCTTTAACCCAAAAAAGAAACACATCAGATTCTGAATCCTCACATGGTTGTACAGCAACCCTGTCCCGATGAACAGGACGATAAAACTACAAATAGCTGCCAGCAGTTTTTTCTAATGTTTCTCCCCCCTAGAGTCTTGTGGTCGACAGTTGTCGACCATGACTGCCGCTTGAAAACGCCCTATGTCCGGAGTCCAAATGACTTGGGCTACAGGCTGGTGGCAGACTATCCTTGCCGGCTGCCGCCGACCACGGCCCGCTATGTGACTTTGGCAGAAGCGATCCGCGGGATGTAATCCGCGCTGATCCATGCGAACCGGTCGATGGAAGGCACCAAGCTTAGCCAAGCGACGTGGTGCTTCTCCTGAACTAGAACATGTGGGACTTAGGGACTTAGATCGTTCTCCTGTCCTACACCTACACCTATGCAATTGGTGCACCTTTAGAAAGTTAGCACCAAAGACCCTTACGAAGGGCTCTTAAGATTACAGCCTTTCCACATTCCTTGCCCATCTACACGATCCTATTTTGTTCATGGATGAGCTGCTTTGGCCCTTGTGGCCAGGTCGAAGGCGGCAGTGTGTGCCCTCCAAATGTTGAAAATTGCTTTCGGCCCACCTGTGGCCTGCTCAAAGCTGTTCAGATCGAAGAGGTTTGAAGAATCGCCTCGTTAGGCAAAGCCTAACTCTGATCGCCTCTGCTTGTTTGGACCACTTCTAGGTTGGAGGCCATCGCCACTAGGGTGGAGGCCATCGCTATTAGAAACAAGGATAAGATAAAGGGACGAACTAGATGGAAGAGTCCAATATCGCGCATTCATGCGAATGCCCAGATCTGCGATAGCAGGTTGGATAGCGGCTATATATCCCTTCCCGTTCTATGGTGTGCAACGTAGGCTCTGCCCACACGTGTCGTAGGCGCGGCACTGATGAGAAAGCATTGCTCGGAACAACACCTGCAGAGTTGGCTGGGATCCACACGGCTTTGGGGTAGTCCAAATAGTCCTCCCCTTGGATTTGGTGCTTGTGCTCGTAGACTTGGAAGCTTTGCCTCACTACTAAGTGGAAGTGCGTAGTCTTCCGAAGGGCGTCCTGGATTGGATCTGCAAGGGCTTCCTGGGTTTGTGGGTGCACGAGGTCTATAATTAGCCAATTTTATACCATTCGCTAAGCTTCTCAAACAAGCACCATTCAGGAGACTGGCGATTGCGCTGGGATCTTAGAGGCCTCTCGGTGTCACCTTGCCTGTGACCAGGCGCGCGGGAACCTGCGCGCAGGTTGGCCTTTCGCTGCGATGGAGTTCTCGTTCGATCTGTGGGGCTTCATATTTTGCAGCGAACTGTATCATCGTGCCACATGCATGTATATATAAATGGTTTGAGATAGTATCTATAGTATTATCATATTCTATCGTATGACCTGGAAGCAGCCCCCTGGCGGATGGACTCATTTCATGCAGTTTGACAAGCTGACTTGGCGGGCTCGATCTATCTACCAGACACGAGCTGCGATGCGGAGGCTGCAGTGCCAGAAGATGGTTTCGCTGTTCCACAGGCCGTGTGCCCTGAAGAGGTGCGGGTTCCGGGGCGGAAGAGGTGCTGTTCACCCCTGCGCACCCTGTTCCCAAGGAATCCGACTGGTAGGATGTTCTTCCACCAGTCACCATGTTCAGGACACAGGGAGTACACTTCTTGTCTTAGTGGCACTTCTGAAGACCGTTGAGTGAAACCAAGAGCCAACCACAAGAAAGGCTTCTTACAGCTTTCCACTAAGCCGCCTTCAAGGAAAAACGCAATATGTGTTGTCCATTTCATTAAACTTTCCAGTTCACAATGTTCTTTTCGCGAAGATAAATCAGATAGAGCCAGGATCAATCGGGCATGATTTTGACGAGTATTCTTCTGGAATAGTGGCCTCCAGGACCTCAGACCTTTGCTTTGCGACTTTGGTCACATGTTTGACATGGAGAATGCTTCTTGCAACCGACGAACCACCAGAAACCAGCAACTCAACGAACCCGTGTGAACCGTTCCGATTGGTGAATGTCGATCCCCCCCAAAAGGGTGGGGCAAAGCTGTTTCATTTGTTCAGCGCATGTGCTCAGCCATTCAGCGCATTTGGACGAAGGCGGGGCTCTTTCAGTTGCGTGGATGCAGTGCTCCCCGGTGCTATTTGCCTGCAGAGGTCCGGACCAGGGGATGGGTCAAGGCGTGGTGATGCGGCGTGGCTGGGAAGGGAGACGTGTTTATGTGTTGCTTTGTCCTTGAAATGTTGGATGTTTTTTTGTGGTTCACATATTTTCAATTGGTGTTCATTATATATTATATTGCTTGCATTTGCTTTCCATTTGTTTGCCTAAGTTGTTTGTTATTTGTTCCATGGTGTTTCCTTTTTCGTGTTTTTTCGTTGGGCTTTTTGGGATTGCCCAATAAGTTCTGGACCTGGAGTATGCTGGACGTTGTTTCCTTGAAATTGGTGGAACCGAGGCCGTAAGTGATGAAGACAACAGCAAGCAACTTGTACCGGAAAGCTTATCGACGGTAAAAAGAAACAACAATACAAACAGCAGGACTACTGTAGTTTGCTTTAGATATTATTGTTGCAGATGAGATTTTGATAACAGTTTCTATGGATCAATGGACACGAACGGACCAGCAAGTTGCAGTGTATCACTGTGTTCGGCAGGAAGACATAACCAATACAAAAGTCCTCAAAAGTCAAAAGGCCCACCTGGACAAGAATCGGTGTCAATGTCTACTGTCTACGTATGAAAAGTATCCAAAAGTGTGTTCTTGCAGCCACTTCTTGACAGTAATACAGATACGTTCAAACACTTTAAGTCACAACTAGACCGTACTTGTATACTTGTCCAAGACTGACCTGACCCTTGACACTCTCCAAGACTGACCTTTTTAGTTCGGAGTAACTGGTTTTAACTCCAGTATCATAATTAGGTGTGGCGGATGAGTGACAAGTGATGCTAACAAACAAAAAATACTCCACATTTATAGAAGACTTTGGACACTGGAATGTGATTGACTCCTTGCCAGCATCCCATGAATACATGCCTCATAGCATATGAGTCTGTAGATTTCGGATTCAGGCCGTTTTAAAGTTCGACACGTTTTTAAGCCAAAAAGAGAAAAACACCTCCTGTCCTTCCCTCACTGGTCAAAGGACGGACGGGCCGGTCCTATTTGTTGATTTGTTGATCCACATCAACCCACTTGAAGCAAAACTGTGAATGTGCTAACGTGTTGATGAGTGCAGCCATGGGCAGTTCACCAATCACCGATTTTCACACGTGACCCCCTTAACCCTCCTACTACACACTAGTCGATGAACTTTTGGAGTCGATGTTACTACTAGTAGCAAGAAGCTAGCAACAAGTGCATTACTACTAGTAGCTTCTGAAGCTACGTCACTAGCGATGGCCTCCTACTAGCGAGCCATTTTAGGAGGCCGAGTGTCAAGACATGGAAAAAGAACACGACGTGCTGTTTTGTTGGGAGGACCATGTGTCTCACCACCTGAATCTACTCGGAAGACCGAGTGAACAAGACTCCATGCCACCTGCGGCGAACGAGGTGGCCATCGAGTTTGATGTGGCTGACTGCAGCTGCCTGGTCCAACTGGGCTCTTTCATGGTGGGAGCCCGCCGTTGAGGGTTGGGAAGATTAACTTCAACAATGTCAGTCAGGTTGGGGTGCCTGATTTGATTTGATGTCATGGGTCTATCTCCAAATACGGAAACAAAATAAACGCAGCATAACAATATTTTCATCCATGTCAAATTCCTGGACGAATGTTTTAGCCAGAAGAAACTTGTTAGTGATAGATCTCTTATCTCTAGAAGGAAAGAAAGTATATAGTTGAGCTCACGCACTGTGCTAAGAACAGGTCCGTGAGCTTTGTTTGAAGACAAAAACCAGGTGGGAGTATTTTGAATGTTACTTGGAATGTGGTGAGTACGGCGGGTCAGTCCTAGCAGACCTCACTCACTTGCCTCCACCAGCAGTGTTTTGTTGTTTCTACTTCTCCCCAATGTGTGTTGCAACCACACCAATACCAGCGTAAATGTATGGTGCACTGGCAGGGTCTTGAACCACACTCTAAGTAACAGCGGTGCAGGTATTTCTTCAAAAAACTACTGTCATTAGTTCTTTGACATCACAGCACCTTCAGCCTTGGGTACTTGATGGTACTTGTACTTTGAACGTGTTACAACCATCCAACCGCCGCTGTGGGTCTCTTTCGGGCCGGTTGGGTGCTTTGCCACCATCCTACTGTGTCGCCGTGCCTGTCGTGCGGATCGGACGAGAGGCACATCCACACTCGGATGAATCAGCTTTTGCTTTGGATGAATCCTCTAACACAGCTTTTGCTCAGGTGAATGTTGTTGTTGTTTTTTTGCGTATCGCAAGGCTTCACTGACTTCGATTCAAGCTGACTTGCCATGAACCCAGGCACTGTGGCTGGAGCACTCAGTGAAGAGGCCCTTTGGAGCTGTAGCATTCTTTTGTCATCCCCAGTGACTAGTGGTTTTGAAGCTGTAGTTGGGGGTCCCTCCAATAGTTTCTCATGATCTGACATGGTTTGATCCTTTCTGTCTTTGAATCCGTTCCAGCTGTCTATCGGTGAACTTCAGGGGTTTGAAGAGGTGGCATCATCCATATCTGAGGTTGTCCAGTTTCTGAGGAAGCAACACACATCCAAAAAGAGAGCATGAAACTTGTCCCAAAGCAGACACTTCTGTGGTGTGGCCTGGTGTGTCCGTATCTGTGGAGCACTCTTTAACGAGGCTTTGAACGCGTTTATCCCCAGGCACAAAGGCATAGCAGAAGAATAGCCCATTGGCCCTTGTACACAAAAAATTACCCACCGCAGACAACTGACTTCCTGAACAAGTTACAGTATCCCTGCTTTACAATCAAGCTACTTTCCCAATTCGGAGCGCTTTGGACACATCATGAGACATAGATTCTTTTCTGGTTGCTGATGGATGTTTGTCATCCAAGACAACAGATTTGTTCACCAAATGTGTTTGAGTTTGTTTCTCCTTTGTTATCCAGCTCAGAGGCTGTGTCAGCTTCGCACAGACTTGCGGCTGTGCCGGATAATGTCCTGCTAAGACTGAATGTTATTCAGCTTGGCTTTCCATGTCCAATGTTCGCCACACCACAGGAGTGTTTATTGCGTTGCAGATCTGGACAGAGTGCTGCGTGAGCCTCAGACTCCCTGGCATCCCGGGTGCCTGAGTGCTGAAAGATAGACTCGGTCCTGACACTGAAAAGCTCGGACATGTGGGGTGAAGCAGTGGATCATGCGGATACTGTTTGCGACTGTAAAGGTTTCAGATTGCCACAACATCAAAAGGGTATACTGTATAATACATAAGTTACATGTAGACATTTCCTGGTCTACCAAGAGCATCCAAGAGCCCTTCGATACGAGGGCATAGCATTGTCACTGAGATATGTTGGTTTTGTTGAGTGTGTGTGCGAATCATGCACTTGTTTGAGTTTCTATGTGTTAAGCAACTCATCATAGATGCCATGCGGAAAGTGCGTTTGCGCATTCTCCGTGCCACAGGGGAATGAAAAGCATGCATGTGCGAAAAACATGCATGTGCAAACACAGCGTGTTGGTGGCGAGCAGGATGATAGGTGGTGTCGATTCGGCTGCAACAGTTTCTTTTTATGGATGCCTTCATGCACGGAGGGCCGCCCTCCCTCCAAACTCACCCCAAACAGTCGAAACACCGAAGCTGGAGCGATGTGTAAGCCTTAGCCCTCCGACACCTCACCCAAACCGCCCGCGCCGTCCGCAGCGCCGTTCACGTCCTCGAAAAGTATCTCTCGGTGCCGCTCACGACCGGTTTCGGCCCGCGCTTTCTGAGGCACCGAGACCGTGGGAGTGTGAGCTTTGTCTGACTGAGAGTCTACCCCCAAAATCCTATCTGAAAATAGCCATGGATCGGTTGCGAGGGCTCCCTATTCCGCTTCACACTGAGGTTCACAAGTTTGGTTCTACCCACTCTTGTGTCATGGTTCACTGTCCAATTATATATATATATACTTGTGTTAGCAAGGCCAGAGCTGAACATATTCGATGAACTTGAGTTTGCATTGCCTCTCTGAAGAAGGGAGAAAGGCTGTCCAGGTCAAGTTAGAGGGTCTGAGTCCCAGGTCCCCAAAAAAGGAAAAAAATGACACAAGCTTGAACAAGCTGGAAGACGCACGTTTTTTTGGTCACTTGGGGATTCTGAAGGCTCCTTTAATTATCCTGCCGGCAATCTCGCAGCACGAATGCTACCAATCCAAATGAACCTTCCTATACGTAGCAGGAAGTTTGCCAGAAACCGGAAGTTTCGTCAAGGCGCTTTGCCTTGCGAGAAACCAGGGGCTCCTTTTCCATGTCACCCCTGACATGCAGCCCCGCTGCGGCCAGTCATGGGCGAGTCCGAAAGTCGCTTTGAGACGACCATGGGGACAGAGGATCATGTTGCTCAGCGAGCATTTCTGGGTGTGTTCGGGTGAGTTTTTACATATTTGTTGTTTTAAATGTTTTTTTGTTTCTTATGGCCTGGAGAACGGAGTGTACATATAATTGGACCGAAACTATGACTACAATTACTACAAATAGACCGAGTTAAAGTGTTTTAGTGCCCCAGTTGTCCTACTTTATGATCTTTAGACATAATATTGTTCTTTTCCAGATCACCTCGCAACACCGCCTTTCCTGAAGAGAATTGGCCAGGAGCATACATGAATTAACGAGATTCTGACTCAGCTTGGGGACAGGAACCACCATGTTTCTACAAAGAAACTCCGTCTTTCCAAAGGCCATGCCATCCACGTAACCACGGGTTGTAGAGTGACGAGTGTACCGAGTATTTCGACCATCGATGATGAATTGACTGGGTTGAAAAGCGACCAACTCTATTAGAGCAGCTAGGGTGAAGTGATGTGAAGTGCCAAAACCCAGTCCGACAGGACTCGGACGTCCGCAAACAAGTGCCAGACTTCTTGAGACTATTGAATTGGATGTTCATGTGAGTGAAATTAATCTGCATCAAAACACAGTCCTCTCTTCGACGTCTCAGGAGTTCGGGTTCCACGTTTACGGCTCGGTGCGTTCGCGCTTTACGAGGCCAAGAGCGACGCCATCGCACAGAAAGCGGTGAATGATGGGATCAAGGACCAACAACCAACGAGCCACTAACAAAATGATTAAAATCATTGGGCCACCTTTTGCATTCATCGGTTTGTTGGAAGAGATTGGAACTGAAACCAATACCAATGTGTCATTGTAGGCAGCTTCCTGAACAAAATCTGCACTGCCAAATGTCTTAGATTAGATGTTTGGTGGTTGCTGGGTTTGCACTTTGCCCGAGGCTTCATGACGTCAAGGCCCCCCAAGTGGGCGGTAAAGCAGTGGTAAAGCAGCCAAGTTGGCACGTCCAATGGATGTGGATATATGTGGATGCATCCTCAGTTGGTTGGTATTCAAATATACCAGTAAATCGATATGATAAAAGTAGACAACTGAACTCGAATGATTCTGTATGATCCAGCTTAGACCAGCTTAGTTGCCTTCCGGTTTCCATTTGACTTCTTCCTCGCTTTGTTTCTTACTGTGCAGAACGCTTTTCCACCCAACCTCTCCTCGCGCAGAAAGCCCAAATCTGGGCCGATTGGCAACGGCTTGGACTTCCAAGTCCTGCCGAGGGCGGGGTGCAGCTCGGCAGAACTGGGTGGCTTTGGTTGCGAGTGCGAGCTTGAGAAACATATTTGACACAAAAGGACAAGCAAACAAGCAGGAAGCAATCGAAAGCAATCGAAAGCAATTACAGTATATTACATAATTACTCGGTATATACACCAAAAAACATGACATTCTGGGCTGTAAGATTCTTGCGCATCAAGAACTCGTCACAAGTAGACAGTTCTACCAAAAAGGTGGCTGGGGTACCACCTCCAAGCCGGTTGGACACGATTGGTGAGGCTTCATACTTTCGACTTGTTTTCATGGCTATAGATGGAAGCATGTTAGTTGTTTGTCGTATAAATACTTGAGTGATTGTCCACGGGGTTTTCAATTTACAAGTATGTTTAGAGGTCTTCGGAGTATTTGTCCAGTGCCTGTTGTAACAAAAGACGACATGTCGGATGTGGTCTTCAGAAAAAGCCTGGCTCACATGCACATGAAATCACCTGATCAACAAGAAGGCGTGTCGTGTCGTGTCGTCATCAGTCACCCACGTCAGTTTTGTCCATGCTCCTTCGACCGGAACGTTCCGCCACCGGCGTGCGAAGCGAGGCCCTGGTACTGGTTTTGGAGCCGCTTTTGGTATGGGAAGTATCCGCCCACCCGCTGGGTCGAGCCGCTCGGAGCTGCACGTGGTCGCTCCCAGGGTGTCGACTGTCGAATTCAGATTCAGATGTTTGAGCCGTGTTGTTCGAACGCAACTTGAACCAACGATGCTTGGGAAGCATTTCTTATTGGGTTGGCCAGTTGTGCGAATTTATTCTCCCAAGATCTCCAGGTGCCGGGAATTGGTTGAAAAGGCATGGATATTGATGGATCAGATGGACTAAATCCCACATAATGTTTTCATAGAAACCACATCCATCTCCTTTGAACTTCCCCTGAAAAATGAGAGGCTGGTCCAGCTGACAAGTTTTGGTTATAGCCATAGCCCTAATTTTTATGGGGGAATGATATAATTGTGTGTTGACCCAGTTTGAATTTGAAGCAAAGTTGGAGGTAGAGTAACAACTGAGTTGACTCCATCCACGAGGCCGGGATTCAATCAACAAGATGGCCGGATTTTGCTTTTTATTGAGGGTGTTTTATCATCCTAAGTTTTATCATCCTAAGAACAATCTCCTAAAGCTGCAGGATGTGCTTCAGATTGGATGGTCCAACACTTGTTTGTTGCCAGATCCATTCCAATCAAAGAGGACTCTCCACGAGGTTTCCGCATGTGTTCCTCAAAACCTCCACGCGCGACTCAGGGGTGTGACCATCGTGGAAGAGAACGAGCTAGGCGTTTCTTTTTTGCTGTGGCCATGTGTGGGGATGCTGTGGCCGTGTGGCTAATATATTTCGGATTTGCTCGGCTTTTACATGCTTTTACCAATCCTTCCGTAATTATTTTCAAGGCTCAAATTTCTCAGTCAGTGTGTCAGTGATGAGGTCGGCAAATATGTGCAGAGAGGAGACGGAAGCCAGCTCTTGATGACAAAGGAGTTCCCTTCCAGAGCATCCGATCTAGTGCCAGTATACGGCATCAATAGATGCTACAGTACACTACATGACATAAACATAAACATGATTTATGATATATTATATACAGCATACACAAGAGATTACATACGTATGTATATATATATATATGTACTGTCACAATTAGCAGCATTGTAGCATACACCTGATATGATACCGCTTGTGGTCTCAATTTGCTCGCCAACCAGAACCCTGGTGATGTCCATAGCACTTGCAGAAGTGGAGCATCCCATCCCAACATGCAGCGTAGCGTCTCCCCCCACGGCAGGTGAACAGTGGGTCACACACGTGGACATCCGACAGAACGGATCCCGACACTCGGCTACCAGGGAGCAGTGCCCGGTTAGGGGAGGTGGAACAGTATTTGTACCACACATGTCTTTTCGGGGGCCCAATCCATGGTTCATGTTTCTACCATCTTTATGAGGCAACTACCTGGGGTGTCGCATTCTTGATTAAATATAGTTTATACACCAGACCAAATTATAAAACACATACACAGCAATCCATGTCTCATTCTTGTTCGGCTGTCCTTTTGCCATTCCAATTGCGATTCTTAGATCTTGCTGCACCGTTGTGGAGCTCAGAGAGCAGTCCACAAGAGCAAGATGCTAGAATTCAAGAATTGTACTCTACTCTCAGACTTCCTGGCCCGAATCCCAACGCTTTCTTATAAAGAGATCACAGGACTGAGACTTCGTGGGAAAACTGAGCCTTCGTGGCTAGTTCAGGTATAATGAAATATAATGACACTGTCGATCCAATTTTTGTTTTGAGGTGTGGAATTGGCCCCTGAGTTGTTAGGGCGCTTTAACATCAACATTTCCAGTATACTCTCAAGAGCACCATGGCTGTAGCGGGTATGAGTTGATGTTTACATATGTTTACCATGTTTGGCCGGAGCCTTTTTTGACACTAATTCAACACAAGTCCATGTTTTTGTTCATTCAGGGGAAAGACACAGACATGGTATCGGTTCACTGTGACTCAGCTTTATTGATCAGTGAATGCTTGATTTGTATTTTGTGATCGTGGCTGCAACATCATGATGCAGTGGGCAAGCCCAGAATCCGAGTCTGACCAGGCAACTTTCCCAATGACGAGCGTGCCGGGGCTGCATTTACATATCATTTACTTGGCAAAACATAGCAAAACCCCAAGAGCCCGCTGGGCTCCATCTGACAGTTTTGCGTGCCGACCTTTGGTAAGCAGAAAGGTTGTTAGGACCAACAATTATTTGCTTGACATCAAGAGGACATGATGGCACCTAAGCTGACCTTGTGTCCAGTGAATTGTCATGCTTTCTTGAAATGCTGAGGCTTTTCACACAATTGGTCAAGGAGAAAGATGAACACCACGTGCTGAGCTGCGCACTCCCGGCGCTATTGGGGTGGGAAGAGTTGAGATCATCGGCTGCAAATATAGCTGATCAGACCTTGTTTGTTCAATCGGGTGCATGTGGACATGAAGGCTCGCAGTGGTTGAGATGTAGACAGTATAGTATTATTGACACCAGAATTCTAAGGGATTTCAGAGCACACAAGTTGATGACATTCCTTTGTCCCATACCTTTTCCTTGCACTTGCTACAGCCCCATACCTCGGCTGTTCATTCGGCGATGTTCGACTCCTCCCTCCGCATTCGAAACGGTTTCGGGCGGGAAAAGGATCCCTTCCGAACACCACGTCAAAGGCGTGCCTCTTTTTTCGGTGTCGGGATGGATCGGTGCACTGAAGATGAGGAGCGAACAATGTGTTTTGTTCTTTTTGAAGATGGTTTCTGTACCTGAGGGGAATCTCAAACGACCAGGTTGCATTTGCGGTTGCATTTGCCGTGTCAAAAGGGGTATTGGGATCAAGAACGCAGGTGAACGCTCAATCATAATAGGACCGTCGCGGCCTGCGGAGTGCTGATATAACATGATATAACATGGCTTAGGGCCTTTGGTACAGACTTTGTACTGGTGATTTGGGGCCAACCAGGTTGGAGAAGGCGACTGCCAAAGCTTGTTTCACAGGGTTTGGGTGCAGAAAATATAATGGAGTTACAAATAAACTTGACAAGTTGTCATGGAATTGAAGTCCAGGCAGACAGGTGGCGTGGTTGTTTTCTCAGCAATCCAAAATGGTGTTCTCATGGCTTACAGTCTTCAATTCGTGAAAAGCACAGCTGGAGTTCCAAGCGGGCGCGGTGAGCCTGTTCGGCTTGCTCGCGGTGTGAGCCTATGCCCGATCTTCTGGTGCCTTTCCCGCTGACCTAAACAGGTCAATTTCCGCTTTCACATAGATGTCTCATGGAATAAAGGTCGGCCTTGTCATGCCTTTTCATGCCTGGTTTCACACATTGTCATGACGCACAAATGACGAGAAGAAACTGATGTTCCACGTGTTCCGTGCATGTTGGCAGTTGGCGCCACTTCTTTTGTTGGCACGTTATTTGTTGGCTCCAAGCCTCGCGCTTGGAAGCGTGTACTCTCTGACTGGAAGCGTCCACCAACTTCACGGCCTTTGGCCAACAACCTGGCGTTGCTTCCAAGGGATGGCTTTCGCATGACCCCTCCTCCATCATCCTCCATGCAAAGTCGGACTCACCGAACGGTGCTGGATGGTGCACCAGCCTATTGCATTTCTGATATACATGCTACTGCTAAATGTATCTATATGTTTTGACTAGTGTTTTGACTGTATAGCCTAGCTATTTAATCTACAGTAGATTTATATTTATACTATTAGTTTGATAGGGAGTCCCTCAACCAATGGTTTTTTGGCCTTTGTCGTTTGGCACATGCGTCGCATGCAATGGCTTTCCTCAGCTAAGCGTAAGGTAGACACAAAGGGAATTAGATCCTCAGCATATGCAATCTACAATCCCCAACCAACTGGTTTTTGTTTGTTTCTCTTCTTACAGTCTTTGGAAGGTTACCCTATTTTTAAACACATCCATTGAATTGAATTTTCCACTAACCGACCTTCGCTCCATTCGCGACCCCAACGTGCGCTGCAGATTGAAAAGTCTTGTGTGCTTGGGATGATGAGTCAACAACTGTCCCCCACTTGGTCTTGACATGTCATAACCATGTTTAGCAAATTCCACTGGAATCTTAGTGGAATATCCCCAAGTCCGGTCAAAGTTCGGACTTTAATTTTAACATCTTTGGGCCCTGCCGAGAAAGAATGCTGCTAAGTCTGGGGATGGCTTGGGATGTTGGATTCCACTTGCCGTCAACACCACTCTCTTGCTGGTAACACGGGTAGGGCATGCCACCTGCGCCAGCTCTTAGATGCACTAAAACACCGTTGGGAGGAAAAGAATTGGAGTCCAAAGAAACCAACTCTGGATTGACCTCCCATTGTTGGTCAACATAGCCATCAAAATTGACCTGGATTTTGGTTGACCTCCAAGACCTCTGGATAAACCAATGGGGATTGGTCCAAATCTGGAGCCCGACCAGTCCACCATCTAGCGAACCACCTTCCCTTCCAGGTGGGTCAACCTGTCGGTATCCAAAGTATCCTGGTGCCATGACCCACCAGCCATACTACGGTGTCCAAACGGTGCCATACTACGTACTGATGGTGACTGCCTCAACGGTCCCAGCAGCGTGAAATATGTGTTTGCACCAACGGTCCCATGTTCTTCGTACCATTTGCAGTTTGGGGTGTCGCACATTCTATGGATAGTGACCCACTGTTTGGGCAACAAGTGACTAGTTGGCCGTCGGCCAGAATCTCAATTGAAAAATCGGAGTTTGCACTGCTTCTATTTGATCAAGCAAAACAACTTAGTCCTAAGTCAAGGCAAGATCGACCATGACGTCCTCGACCTCATCACCCGATATTTGGCGAAAAGAAGCACATGTTTTTCCGCAGAGTTTCCGACGCTGTTTCTAGGAGTCAGGAACCCCCAAATTGCAATGGTTGAAAAACACATCCCCACGTTTTGACCCACGCCCATGTTGGCCACACCATATGATTCACTGCATCCATCGGTCTTGAAACCAGACCGAGGCCTCCAAAGCCCTTTGTGCTGAGCACTTGGGCACCTTCCAACTCTCCGGCTGTGAAGAGGCCGATTCACCGCGCTTTCTCACTTGGGCGTATTCAACGGGCTCAGCCGGTGAAGCCGTCGGCACTCGGTGCGGCGTTTCCGCCAAAGAGTGGGGTGAGCCTTCGAGGGGCAACACCCCATCGTCAAAGTGCAGCAAATAGCTTGCAGGGGATGAGAGAGCTGTTTGTACTCCAGCTGGGAGAAACTCATCCCGTTTTGACATGTTTTTGAATCTGGGTTTTGCTATTTCCTTTAAACAAAGACGAGAACCCACGGATTTGCAACCATGGCCTTCTGTTGGTGAGCACATGACATGGACCACTGTTTTTTTGTTGTATGGACTTTTGTGCCATGCATTTTGTGCCTTAAAGTATCTCCAGGATATCCTGAATTTTGGTTGTAGAAAGACCCTCGCGCGTTTTTTTGTCCAATTTGAATGCATTGATTGAATTGTTGTGAGGAACTGCACTACACAATGATTGTGTCTTTCCCATGCCGTAGCTGATCTAGAAGGTCTCCAGTAGTCAGCAAGGTATTCTGCCCAGGCAGTCTTTGGCCTTTCCCATCTAAATTAACATTTGGATCAAGCTATGGCAGCTCGTTCCGGACGTAGACCTACTAGATGACCAACTCAGTTCCTTGAGCTTTGCATATGTTACCCAGCTACTCATGGATTCTTACACCCGAGCTGATGCGAAACCAAGCGGAGTTGTCCATCTCTGGCAGGTGCGCTGCAAGTTGCCAGCCGAGACCACAGGCACCAGCAGACGTGCCTCGCTTCGCTCGGCCTCTCTGGTTCTTCCGAATCTGCCAGGGTATGATGTCTCCCAATGTGATGCAGTGGACAAGACGGTGCCTTTGTATCAATGTGCGGCGCCTCAACACGTGGCCCATTTTGCATGCGCATGGGCTCCGCTATAAGTGGATTTGTCGATCTTGAGAGCCACGGTTCGGCCTTGAAAGTCAGTAAGAGCTGCTGCATGATGTGCGCAAGGTCAGGTGAAAGTGAGAAATTCCGTCGAGAATGTTTATAGCTCATAGCATTAGAGCGTGTTGCTTTAAACTTTAAGACCGATCTCAGCTGCGAAAATCGTAGACATCTCGTCTCACCCTCAGCCTTCTTTCACTCGCAACAATTCGCCCTGCATGGAATTTGCTAAAGCGGCCACTGGCCGCTTGTTCAAACTCAGCCATGGTGGTGCATGGGAAGGAGCACTGGAGATTTTAGACCAGCTGCAAGCGCATCGCTGTAGGTTAGATGCGGTCATTTGCAGTGCCCTTTGCGGTGCTTTTCAGGCCTCTGGACGTTGGGAGCTGATGCTCTCATTGCTTTCAATACATGAAGCTCTCACGCTTGACACCCCAGCCTGTACAGCTTTACTGAAGCTCTATGGGCGCTGCAGTGAGTGGCGACGGGCCTTGAGAATCTTCGAAGGAATGCTGAGTCAAGGGCCAGCTCCTGATGCCTTTGTGCCCTGGAAGTTGTTGAATGCTTCCTTGATGTTTACAGTGTGTTGCATTGATAATAATATGATCAAATATTGATAATTATGGGTGCAGGATTCTATGCATTCAGATATATTATAGGTCAAATAAGGGGATATCTAGATCCGTTAAGCATGTGTAACACAGACCTTTATGTGCAATGGGTACACAGCAAGTCTGCAGCTGAAATCTGCAGACTTTGAGAAATGGTCTCATGGTCGGATGTCGCCATTTAAGGGATGCTCTAAAGGTTGGGAGCGAGTTCAGCTCACTATAGCAGAATGTCCGTTATTTGATGACAACATGTCACAACAATGTATGTGTCAATCAGTGTTCGTCAACATCGCAGCCCTTGGCCCTGGACAATAAGACTGCAAATTTATCCATTAACAATGAATATATATATATATATATATTATATATCACGACTACTTACATATATTATATATATATATCATATTACGATCAATTCATCCTCTTCATCCACCCGCTCGTATCACAACGCCCTCCCGCTCGCGTCACATCAGGCCTTGAGCGCCTTGATCTCCTCCGTCCCTTGGCACCTCGCGCTGGCTCTTTTGACCGCACGGCACGCCGTGCACGGAGCGCAGCCCAATGTGGTGGTCTACAACGGCGCCATCTCCAGGTGCGGATCGGCAGAAGTGTGGGAAGCAGCACTAGAAGTGTGGGATGAGATGGAGATCCATGGTATTCGCAGAGATCCTGTGACGTGTGGGAGTTTGATCGCTGCATGCGAGAAGGGAAGTGTTTGGACTATGGCACTGGAAGGGCTGGGTCACTATCGTTCCCTGCGGAATGTGATTGCAGCATCTACAGCCATCTCAGCATGTGCAAAGGCCCAGGAGTCTGAAAAGGCCTTGGAATTGCTGGAGGCCTTGCCAGAGATGCAGATCGAGCCAACTTCTGCAGCCTTCAATGCTGCTAGCATCTGTCAGAGATGGGATGCTGCAGTCAAGCTGCTGCATGCTGCAAAGTTGGCTGGGATCAAGGCGGGTTCAAAGTCGGATGTGACCTACCTCAAAGCTTTAGAGAGAGGATCTTGCTGGCAGACTGCAATCTCTTTGTGGAACAGAAGTGATGCACAACTGGCTTTGGCCATCCGTGCCTGTTCTCACTCCAGTCAGTGGCAAAGCGCAGTAGCTCTTTTGGAAGTGAGATGCAGCACTTCGAAGACAATGTCCTTGGAGTTGTGGAATGCAGGTCTCGGGTGCCTGGCAACCCCTGAGACCTGGCTTTTGACATTGGAACTCTTCGAAGGACTGGAGAGGTCTCAGACGGCACTGGATGCATTCTCATACAACCTGGCGATAAAGGCTTGTGAGGTGGGTCATCATTGGGAAGGAGCTTTGGCCTTACTTCGGGAGGCAAAGAAGTGGTCTTTTGGCGATGTTTTGAGCTATCATATGGCGATGACCACGTGTATGGACACTTGGAAATGGGAAGCTTGTATCGATTTGTTGGAGGAGTTGGAGATCTCTTCTTTGGAGCCAAACCTGTTGGCCTACGGCCCAGCCGTTGGCGCTTGCTTGCGGGCCTTACGTTGGGAGCAACCCCTATCTTTGCTGCAGGGCTTATGGCTGCGCAGCCTCACTCCAGACACTGCGATGTGTAACGCCGTGATCACGCTTTGCGAGAGGTCTGGGCATTGGGCATGGGCCTTAGAGCTACTGGAGAGGATGTATGAGAGTGGGCCACCTCCAGATGCCACCACCTATAACGCATTGATCAATGCCTGTGCCACCGGCAGCAGTTGGGAGGCTGCAATCTTTTTCCTCACCTCTCAGGTGCGAGACTGGTCCGAGGAGGCCTTGGGTGCCACGTTGCGGGCGTGCAGCCTGAGCAGCAAGTGGGCAGAAGCTTTAGCACTACCTCGGACCAACTTGGCTTGTAGCTTTGCAGCCCTAGAGGCACAGACAGTATAGTCATGTTTAGTCATGTCTTGTCCTTTGTTTTCTATACTTAGAGATTGATTAGAAGACCTGCTTGGAGTCTTTGTTTTGAGCTTCAACGTGCTTTAACCATTAGCCTTGACACGAAGGCCTGCTTCCTGTCCCTTCGCTCGCTGGAAACCACTCACCTCCGCGACACGTTGGGCGCCCAGCTCGAAGCGAGTCTCCTCGCGGTGACACCGAGTTCTCCGCGAGCAACACACGCGGTGCCCGAAGCGATGGAGCTTCTCCTGGGAGTGAGGGACGCCTTCACGGCAACAGAGGTGAGGGCGAGTCAAAACGAAGAAAAGGTACAGTACATCCAGGATCATCCCAAATCATCCAACATGCACATTGATTCTTGTGCCACCCGTAGAAATGGTTGCTGGACAGGGATCGTTTTCTCAAAGCTCTTGTCCACTTCCACGTGTTCGTGACTCCTAGCAGCTCTTGGCATTACTACTACTACTACTACTACTACTACTACTACCACTAGTAGTAACAAGAAGCTACTAGTAACAAAGGGCATCGCTACTAGGAGCAAAAAGCTACTAGTAGCTCCGTGCATGGTTTCAGGCGAGGCCTTTTTTGGGTTCGTCGCTCAAGTCAACCCTGGCAGGTGGCCTCCCTTCGTTGCTTTCAAGCACCAGCTGTGAGGAGGCTGGTGGCACTTCTTCAAGAAAAGGCTCATGCTGTCTCGGAGCCTCGTGCGAGTTGAGGATCTCAATATGTGTGCGAGTTGAGAATCTTCCAACGATGTCAATGTTATGCCTGTCTCTAGCGGTCTATGTGGGTGAAAGGTATTCAGGTTGGATTTGATTTTGCTTACACATTGACACAGATGATGCAATGGCAGTTGCTGTTACCATGGGGGTCTACACAGATGATCACACAGTTCCATCCAAACTCATGCACATATCAAATATCTTCCCTCCCTCCAACAAACATGGAACTGGAATATGGCCTCTTGGAGGACTGTTTTCCTCTACAAACCGGTGGTTATCCACGTAACCATGATTGTTTCAGAGAGGGTACCTGTACTGTGGGTTTCTACCCTTCATCATGCCAATTTGTTGGATTTGTCGAAGGACCTTCCCAGTTACGGCACTGACATCACTGGAGGATGCGACAAGGTCATGAGGTTTGACACGCGGACATGGTGATATGAGTCAGAGACAAAACTGGGATGTATGATGCAGATGGTGTCTTTTGTGTCATATCCTGCGTGATGGACTTCTAGCATGGCATAGACCGCCATCAGCCGAATTGGGCGGGTTGAAAACCCACGAATCACACGCTTGACAAAAATTGGTCACATGATCATATTGTTTGGTGTTTGTTTATGCGGTGAATTGGACATTCAGACCATCTCTGGTGGTGCAGACTTTTGTCGAGAAGTCAGAGTGTGGTTGTGGGTCTTCAGAATCGTTTTTCATTGAAGGACACATGGTTCCCCCGTGTTTCACGTTGCCCTTTCAGTGAGTCCATCTCCTATTCCAACTCCCAACGTTTACTGTACACCAGATCCCAAGTGACCCCAAAGCAGATGGAGTAGTGTAACTACGCTTATGATATTTCTGGGCAACACTGTTGGTTCAGCGCTAGCTTGGCATAGCTTGACCAATTTTCTCAGGAACTGGGAGGGGAAATGGTCTTGCGCGACCCAACGCTGGAGCGACAAGCGAGCCTGGGCTGCTTCTTCTTGGAGGAGTTCTTGAACGAAGAGCTTCAGCACAGATGCAATCAACGAGCTTCAGAGAGACGGCCCTTTCTTCCCTGGCTGAGCAATGTGAGGATGAGACTTGGAGATTGCTGGGAATGAACTGTGAATCTTTTTGAACATGGTGACTATATAGATGTTGCTGCACCAACCTGTTCCCGTAGGGGTTGAGGTGCAAAGTCAAAATAACGGCAAAGCCCAAACCAGCAAACTGGTAGTAGAGGAACTCAGTCAAAACGGTCGTGACATTGTAGGTGCGACATAATGCGCAAACCTAGTTTGCAGGCCGCCACGTGAAGCTTAGCACGAACAGCGGGCGAAGGGTCCGCATCAAAGGTGATCCAACCACTTTTGGCAGTAACACGAGGCTGATGTACCCACCAACCATGGGCAACATTGAAGGAAGTTTCAATTTCTTGTCGAAATGAACGAAACTGAGGGCACAAGGCCCAAAAATGCCTCATGGAAGCATCCTCTGCTTTGCAAACAGGACAACTTGTGTTGTTAAAAGGCATATTAGCACGTCGTGTCGGGGAAGTGGCAGCACCACCCCGAAACACGGAGAGTAGTAGCTTTTCCTTAGGATCAAGAGTAGCTTTCCAATCTCGCCAAGTCTGATGAGAACTGGCATCAATGTCGACATCAGCGATACCTTCTGCATCAAAACGAGAGCGCCGAACAGAAAGCAAACATTGATATTTGGCAGCTAAACGAAGGGCGTGCGCCCCAGCTTTGCGGTCCACTGTAAAAGTCCAAGCATTGTCAGACCAAGTGACATAGGGTTCAAGAACACGAGTCAGGCCATCCCGAACGGAGCGAAGACGAACAGTCACCCGATGGGCATCCCATGAGGCGAGTTGGAGATTTAACTGAGCAAGATGGCTGTTGATAGCGGCTTGCAAAAATTCCGAAGGAGGTTAAGGAGGTTCTGGGAATCGAAGGCAAAACATAGCACTACCCACAGCTGTGCTGAGAGCAGGATGTAAATCAACGCGGTCTGCCCAAAACCGGCCGGGGTACCACCAATTGCATTGAGTGTGATTCAAAAGAGCGCGCCGAAAAGCAACGACAACGTCAGAAGAAGGCGACTGGAGCAAGGGAAGGCCCAAAACCATTTGCCTTTGAGGAATGTTCGGACGGCCGCTTCACGAGTAAGCAGGCCACCTGCTAATCGCGCCAACAAGGGCAAAACTTCAAGTATAGGAGCCCAGCCATTGCGGAGACATGGTAGCTCGCCAGACAAAGCATCGACGGAGAGACCAAGATGCTCAACAACAGCGCTACCGCCATCAGCAGCAGGCCAAACTTGACGCTTGCTTACATTTTCACGAAGACCAATGGTGACCCCAGACCAGTAGGCCAAGGGCGGCCAAGGGTACATCATGATCCAAACAGTTGCTTTGGAAATGTTTGGGATGTAAAGGTTCTAATTCGAGAAACACCTATGTGGTTGCGAAGAGTCAACACTTAGAACCATGCTATGCCATGCTAACGGGGTGATTTGACTGACGGTCAAACGTGGTACCGTATTTTTTTTTTTGTCTTCAAGCATCCTGTCCAGTTCCGTAAAAGTCCAAGCTTAGAGTATACAGTGTACTATTCTTTGGACCACTCAATCCTTTTTTGCTTGCCCACGGCAAAGAGTTCAGACAGTGCTTGTTTTGCCATGAAGAAGTAATCAGGACGTGTCGAAGAATGCAAAAGAATGGCAGTTGGTTGTTTGCTGATCCCACGGCCAAAGACATTGCTGCAACCACCTCCTACACGCTGACGGATCGACAGGGCATGTCGAAAGCCGGGCAGTGGTCGAATGGCTATCGTGCCCAGCACCTGAAAACTCTACCAGCACTTTTCGTTGAGCACCATCGCTTCCCTCATGCAGAACGTCAAGCTTTGCTAGACATTCTTCATGTGAGCTGGGGCATGACCTCCCCATCCTGATGCTGTTTTGAGTAGAGAAGCCTGCTGTGATGAGGCGGCACTACTGAGTTTGTCTCAGAATCATTGGGTCCCTAATATATTATAGATATAATATATATATATTATAGAATTATATATAATCGTTTGGAATAACGCACGAGATAGGCATGGTAGCATATCACCAATTTCAGATATTGTTGACTTGAGTCTAGCATGACCCAGAACTTGACCTAGCGTGGCTTGCGACTGTGAGAAAGCTGCAAGCTGCCACCGGTCCTTGGGTCTACGTCGGAGATGCTTGACCCCTACGGGACAAACGCCTGCGGACTGGACATGTGGGGACTGAAGACCACAAGACAATTAGAATTGGTGCCACAGTTTGAGGACCACAAGACCATCCAAGACCATAGTTGTTTGGAGTCTGGAGTTTCTTTGTTTTTCTCCATAGTCCATTCTCCAATGCTCCATGGCTGCCAAAAGCGACCCCTGTTGGCTTTCAATTGATTGATCTCCGAGGCCAAGTCTCCTGTGCTCCAGGCTACGTGGCAGAGGTTCATGTGGAGGCCAGGTGGCTGGTCTCGGTGGGGGGATGATTTCCAAGAGTTGTAGTTTTTGACTCACAATGAACATGCCAGACACTTCTAGAAAAAAAACAAACACAGGTTTCCTATAGGGGTGCCATGTTTCCAGCCGGTGTTAGAAGAATTTCTGAGACAATTGATCTGTTTTTTTTGAGTCGAAGCCTTTGCGACCACACGGACTGTCACCACAGTTTCGGGCCTCTATGACCCAAGACTTCGATGGAGTGACGTCGAGATGGGACGTGACTAGGAGAGATCCAAAATGGAGTCATGATCAACCACAACTCACACTTGATATCATCGTTTTGACCATAATGTTTACCATGGTTGATCAATAGACTTGATATCAGTTGATTAATTTGTGAGTCAGAAGATCAACATAGATGAAGGCTGAGATGATCCTGATCCAACCAGTGATGATCTCCTGAATGAACATGAGTTCCACCCATCCAAAATTGAGTTTTGGCTGTCAAATCCGCAAGACACCTTTGTGGCAAACTCAATAACGCTAAACAAAAACAACCAAAACGCAACCGTTTGTTGTGTAATATTTCAGCAAACTGGTTTTTGATGACGGCTGTTTAAACATCACTCGACACCCAATTATGAAGTTTCTGGATAACTTTCAATCAAATTCTGGAGAACTTTCTCATACATGCCAACTTCTGTGTTGGAAATTTGAATTAGTTATCAAGTTGTTGCAACAAAGAATATATATAATATAGACTGTTTGAACATAACGGGATCGCCCTTGGATCACTGTTTTCGGACGA